AATTTTTTTTAAATTTCCATTTTTGCTTTTGGAAACACATTTAAAAAATAAAAATAAAAAAATACTTGCATTCCTCCATGTTCTTGCACTGCTTCATCTGCCGCTCCCAGACAACAAAACAATATTTATCCGTTTGCAGTGTTGAAATCCATGTCTGGTTTATGTAGCTAGGAAGGTGGTATAGAGGTGGCAAAAGAAAGTAAGGATTTTAACTTCAACTGCTTCAGGCTAATATTAGCTTGTTTTATTTGGAACCTTGGTTTAGTGCATGTGGCACTTAAAGAGGGAGCATGTCATTCACAAATCGTATGTGTGGATCATATCTATGCAATGGCAATGTAGGTGCTGTGGGATACTACAGCATGGCTTGGTGGCCGAACCACTATCTACCCAACGTTGACTGACGCACATAGATGCAGTCTAGATGCAAAGAAGCTCAAATTGGAAAAATAGAACTTTCCCACTAAACTTTTAAAAGTTTGACTCCTACAATGCAACTATGAGATTGTATTGTCTTGAAAGTGACACCAACACAGTTACTTGTTACGGTGAGAATTCAAAGTGAATTTCAATGTTCAGGTCAAAATAGCTGAACTGGAAGAATTCTCCAAGTCTGCATATTTTTTTTTTTTTTTGTTATTGTTTGTTTGTATGTATGCATTTTTTTTTTATTTTTTTATTATTTATTTATTTATTTATTTTTGTTCTCTACTCTGGCCTTAAATTTGAAATTCACTTTGAGTTCATGTTGAATTCTCATGCTAACCTTTAGAAATGACAGGTGCCCTTTAAAGATGCACTTTTGGGGATGCTTCATGTGTTTTTAGGTTGTGAGTTTCTATGTTTTATGTACAATCTTACAAGAAGGTAATAATAGTCTTTCTGATCAAATAATAGTATTTATAATCATTTTTGAAAACAAACAAGTAATGAACATAGTACAATTAAGGAAAAGAAAAAAGTAGAACATTAAAAATTTATATAAACGTAAGAAGGGGGGAGGAATCCATCATTTTTGTTTATACAATAGTAAAATAGTGCCAAGAGAAAAGATAACAGATATTTTAATATTTTATATTTGAAATCTAAATATTTCAGCAGTGGGTAGACTTATAAAATGTGTTCATATATTAAAAGATTTTGTATTTTTATTGACCTTGAACACCAGTTTACACATATTTATATATTTCATGTGCTAGTTATGCAGCTTGTTCTTCAAATGTTGTGTGACTTTTTATGCACGACCCTGAGAATCCCAGATTCTGGTGATTTTATTTATTTATTTATTTATTTTTTGCATCTTGCTTGGTAGTAATGTTAAATAGGATTAAAATAAAAATATTCTAACCTTTTAAATCACACTGTAGATCATCTATGTGCTTCCCATCATCATGTAATTATGTCTCTAATAAAACGCAGTGCATCTGGCTCTGATACTTTTTCTACAAACTGGAAAATGTGCTTTGCATTTTGAGATAATTTTAACTCTGCATTCCAACCACCCTGTTGCACAGCATTCTGTGAAATGTAGTTTACCTAACCTACAACTTTGCATGTTTGATAAGTTTAAATAAAAACTGTCCCAATGCGTATTTTAATAGCTCATTGTACTTCTTGAGCTGCTATGGGTTTTAATCATATCTAGTAAATTGAACATTTGTGTAAGCCTACAAGTTTTAAGAATAGCTGTCAGTACCCGTGGCTAGGTACCGGCCACTGGTACTTTGCCAGATAGGCATTTGCTGCTGCTTTGCCTGATAGCATAATATAATAATAAATATAATAATAGGCATTTAAGGTATGTTGGCTATGAGCCTGCTTTATTATTTGTCTAGTATGAAACGCATTTGCTCTGTTTAAGACACCTTTTGATGCTGGTATATTTCAGGTGCACTGTGTGGGCAGTGCTAGTTCTTAATGTAACCCACCAAATTTAGCTTGTGAATACTCTCAATTAGAAAGAAAAAAAGCAGCAACACCTACCTATATATAGATTTTATTTATTTCATGAGACACTAAACACTGTTCTACAACTCAAAAAAAAATTGTACAAATGTATATACTGTGTCTATGAATCTTCGGTCTACTTTTTTTGAAAACGTTAAGAGAAAGAAACATTTTTATTCCCATGTATGTTTATTGCCACATTCAAATTACATCACAAGCCATGGGAGGGAGTACTCCTAAACTTACCAATGTTTACCTGTTAAATTTTACGTATGTCTGAGGTCACCTTGTGTCTCTGGGATGCTGGTTCTTTCGAAGCAATATTACCCAGACTGGTACAGCCCTCTGTACTTGAAACTGCTGTGAAGCCTTGAAACGTGAAAGGCTATATATGCTTATTCCTCTACACGAACATAATCACTCTCTCTGTCATGGAAAGGACTACGTACCAAGCTGTGACAGTGCGGCTGCAAAGAATTTAATTGCACTAATCGGTTTGTCCATTTCAGCATCCTAGCAGGACAAATATAATGTCAACTTCAGAGGTGGTTCTACAGTGGTACAGTCCAGCGTTGTTTCATGTTGTTAAATTCTGACAAACTGCAAGAAGCACCTGTCAGTCTGGTAGACAACCATTAGAGGCAGTCTTAATCCTGCAAAATAAACATTGCTGTTTCTCTAAAACTGCAATATTTTACATTGCAGAGTTAAAGGGACAGGGACAGTGCACCCAGACCACTTCAATGAGATGAAGTGATCTGGATGCCTATAGTGTCCCTTTAATAGTCATACACTGTTTCTTTGCCAGGCAGATCTTCTGTCAGTTTTCCTTTTATTTTATTTTTAGATAATCCCCATTCCTGCTCACCACTTTCATATCTCTCCCTACCCGACACAGTCCTTGTCCTCACCCTTAGCCTCCTGGGACGGTCAAATAATCACTTTTTCTGTGCAATCTCAGCAAGAACCCTTTTTCCCTTCCATTCCACTGTACACACTCAGTAAAATCCCTTCACACTCCACAATAGGAAAGTAATGTTTATACTAAGCATGTTCCCTTGTGTGTGGTTTGACAATAACTGGGGTATTCAGTAGTGCTGTTCATTGCGCACAGAAAAATCCTTGATATTACAAGTCTACTCAGTGTAACAACGGCAGATGAAAACCCATCTTGTAAATAATTACATCCTACAGAGATCTATAAATGGCTAAATTATTTTTCCACCATTTTTTTTTATGGTAATGTTGATGTTTTGAGGAGTGCTTACATGAAGGTCAGTTTCCTAGCGTCTTACTTTATCTCTAGATCTAGCTAGGACTTTGTGTGTCTGTCTTTATACCTCCAGTGTGTATAAATAGATATAGTTAGGATGGCCTTATGCCTATCCCATGCGTTCATAAGATAAGGCCAGGGCAAATGAAAGTATTTTAGAAAATTGGGCAGACTAGATGGCCCAAATGGTTCTTATCTGCTGTCACATTCTATGTTTCTATGTATATGTGTTTCTATATTACAGTATCTAGCTATTATTTCAACACGGAACGTCGTGGTTTAAAATCCTTTACTGCATGGTTGGTGACATCACTTGTGCAGTTATTTCCTGTAATGATCAGATAATATTGTACAGATTACCTGCTAATGAGGACCCTAATCTCAGGCAGCCTAGTGCATATATCTGCCATACTGCCCAAGATTAATGGCAGTCATACTCCTGATCGCTACCTGCAGCCATTTTAATGACGACTAATGAAATAGCTGCCACCCAGTACTGGAACTCCTATTATCGTGAAGTACTGGGAAACATATGTTCCAGTGCTGGAGTTACAGTGGAATCCTCCCTACACTACCTTAACGCATTGCACTACACTATAGATTAACCCCTTTATCACCATAACATAATGTAGTGCATAGGTTAATGTGTAATGACTGTGTACGATCACTAAACTTCTACCTTCGCATCCAAAAACTGACTTAACGTTACACAAACCGAAACATCCATAGCTTTATTTTCCTGTAAGAGACATTTGGAAACCACTTAACGAGAGAGAGAGAGATGTCATAATTTGACTGCTTTCTAGTTTTTATGTCCTTTGGTCTTCTTCTGTCACCTGACCTACCTCTTTTTAATAAAAGGGAAACAATGGTGAAAATACCCATATCTTTTCTGTATTGTAAAGATGTCGCATTTACCAAAGTCCAAAAATGGCTACCTTTTTGAAGTTTCCCCTAACACACCATTTAGTCAGTCTGCATGCAGCTGCTTCACCACTCCAGGAAGAAACTCTTAAAGGGACACTATAGTCACCTGAACAACTTTAGCTTAATGAAGCAGTTTTGGTGTATAGAAAATGCCCATGCAGCCTCACTGCTCAATCCTCTGCCATTTAGGAGTTAAATCCCTTTGTTTATGAACCCTAGTCACACCTCCCTGCATGTGACTTGCACAGCCTTCCATAATCATAGCCAGGGGAGGTGTGGCTAGGGCTGCAAAAACAGAAACAAAGTGATTTAACTCCTAAATGACAGTGAATTGAGCAGTGAAATTGCAGGGGAATGATCTATACACTAAAACTGCCTTATTTAGCTAAAGTAATTAATTTAGGTGACTATAGTGTCCCTTTAACCCAAATATATGTGTGTGTGATAGTTTATCACCAAAGAACAATTCCACTCTTCACTTTGCATGAATGAATCTGCTCTCTAAACTGATAGCAGCCATACTTTGACCATCTGTTTTAGCCATAGCCCAGTTCACGGTTTACTCGCTCCCTATATTATTTGTGACTATAGAAAGTTTCCTTGATGCACTGGGCAATAGAAACAGGTCAATATCTTTGTTAGTTTTTTATTAACTACTCAAGTGCCAAATAATCTGCAGTGAAATGGTTTAAGGGGTTAAAAATGTGATCACAAGTTAAGAACTGCACTACACAAAACCGATGAATTTTAAAGGTTAACGCTCGCTGCTCTGATGTTTGCCAAACAGTTTGTGGTGTGTTTTTTTTTTTTTTCTGTTCTTTCTTTGACAGTGTTTTTGTTTTTGCTCAATTCTAGGACACAGCCTGACGGTGAAGATTAAACTGCTGGATTAAACTTGGGAGGCGAGCAGTGTCGTGCCTGCACAAGAGGAAGGAGAGATGTAAGAGGCGATTGGCGTTTAATCTTGTGGAGGCGATCTATTGAAAAGCTCAAATAGGAGTGGAGAGAAGCAATGGGAATTGGAGGCCATGGTAACCTGACATAAATGGCTGGCTGGAGGGGTTCACACCTCTTTGCTTCCTGCGTCTTCTGCCTTGTCTTGTGCTGTTGCTGCTGCTCCCCTGAGAATATCCACATCTTGGCATTGTGCAGCCAAAGGACCATAATTAAGCAGTTTAGGTGAATGTTGGGGTGAGGTGGGTGGCCTCACCATGATTCATTTATGGAAATTAGTGCGTCACATGCGACAGCTGGAACTCCACCGCTTGATCTTACTGCTCATCGCCTTTAGCTTGGCCTCCATGTGTTTCTTGGCTTACTATGTGACCAACAGCCCAAAAATAAAGGAGCCTCCTCCATTGCCTTTCAGTGACTGCAGCAGCCAGCAAAGGGTTGCGGTACAACCACAAGCCAGTTGGCGGATCGCCAAGTCAGTGGACACTTCTCGCACCGAGCCAGTGGTACTAGTTTTTGTGGAGAGCATCTATTCTCAGCTTGGACAAGAGATCGTGGCTATCTTGGAGTCTGGCCGCTTCAAGTATAGGACAGAAATAGCCCCTGGAAAGGGTGACATGCCAACACTTACCGATAAAGATCGAGGACGCTATGCTCTAATCATTTATGAGAACATCCTGAAGTATGTGAATTTAGATGCATGGAACAGGGAATTGCTAGATAAATACTGTGTGGAATATGGGGTTGGTATCATTGGGTTTTTCAAAGCCAACGAGAACAGTTTATTGAGTGCACAGCTGAAAGGCTTCCCTTTATTTCTTCATTCCAACTTGGGGTTGAGGGACTACCACATCAATCCTAATGCTCCTCTTCTGTATGTCACTAGAGCAAATGAGGTGGAGCAAGGTCCTCTACCGGGGGATGACTGGACAGTATTCCAATCTAACCATAGCACCTATGAACCAGTCCTTTTGGCAAGCACAAAGTCCGCAGAGTCCATTCCTCACTTACCCACTCATAAAGCACTTCATGCAACAGTGGTACAGGACTTGGGCCTTCATGATGGAATCCAGAGAGTCCTGTTTGGCAACAATCTTAACTTCTGGCTACACAAGCTTATCTTTGTGGATGCTATTGCCTACTTGACTGGCAAACGTCTATGCCTCACTCTCGACCGATACCTTTTGGTTGATATTGACGATATATTTGTTGGCAAAGAAGGAACGCGTATGAAGGTGTCTGATGTTGAGGTAAGACCTATATAAAATTAGATCAAATCTTCTTTTTCAACTGCTTTTAATGTTTTTATACTCTGTTTTATGTGCAGATGTGTTTCTAAATAATTCACCCATAGATACTGTGATTATCTGTGCTTTTAAACAAGGCTTATGCTTTAGTGCAGTCGTTCCCAACCCAGTCCTCAAGTATCCCCTACCAGTCCAGGTTTAGGGGTTGCCCAGTTGTGTCTAAAGTGTTTTTAGAAAGGAAAACAAAAACACTTTAGACACAACTGTCAAATCCCTAAATCCTGGACTGGGAAGGGGTACTTGAGGACTGGGAACCACTGCTCTGGTGAATTTTAACCCATAAATAAATGGATGATGAGATGATGCTTTATTTTAAAAAATTTATTTTTTTAAGTATGTTAGGCTTTAACCTTTTTATGACATTTTTCATTTTTGAAAACTGATGGGATGTTACAGGCATAAAATAAAAAGGATAACCAAAGCCGTCTTTCTTTTTCCTACTTAAATCACTGATCAACAGAAAGATTTTTTTTTTTTTGTGGGTTATATATAAGCATTAGCCCCTGTTTTATTGTATGTTTTAGGATGTAATGAATGTAATGGGACATTTTTGTTATGGGTTTTGTTTTGATTAGATTTTTTTTGTAAAATGTATATTTATTTTTTTCCTGGTGAAGATCTAATCTCATTACATACTCCACAATAGGCAAACCAAAACCTTGCTGGCTGTTTTATACTTTAGAAGTAGTTTCCCTTCAGCCAATAAAAGAAATGGCATTGAACAGAGAGAATAGGTCAACGTTAATCTAATTCCTATTTGCAAACATAAAGGTAACATGAGACCCAAAGGAAATTTGTTTTGCCAAACCTGATGTTTCTGTGTATAGTTTAATATTGTAATATTGCCCAGCTTTTATTGCTTTATTACACGTTGAATCATTTCAGGCTTCTAGCACCTCTGTTATATTTTCTTGGCAATATATAGTCAGTGACCACCCAATTACATGCAAGATCTTTAAAGGAACATTATAGTGTTAGGATTAGAAATAGAAACATGTATTCCCAACACTAGTGCTGGAGTATCCGTTTAGGTTTCCGTCCTACCTCAGTAAGGTGTTAAAAGGTAGCTTTACTTATCTTTTCTCCATAACTGCGCTGGACTTGCCACAACTGGCCTCGCCTCCATGGCTGAGATCATAATTCTTGAAGATCTCCGCTAATTCAATGCTTTCCCATAAGAAAGCATTGGGATGCAATTGCTATTGCGCATGTGCGACAATACGCAGAGCTGTGTCAATTAGCATCTCCCCATAGAGATGCATGGAATTGATGCATCTTGTGAGAAGCGTTTAGCTCCTCAATGCAGAGCGTGGAAAAACGGAGTGTCACTGTGCAGCACTGAGATAGGAAGCATCTCTAGTTGCCATCTGTGTGACTGCACCTGGAGGTGTTACAAGGCAGCATTTTAAATAGGTGGAGTCATTGGCACTTATTTTCTATATATACATTGACTTTTGACTCCAACTGAGGGCTGTTCGCTAGTATTTGGTAACTGTAGCACTTGAAGTATTTGTAAACTAGACTTTGCCAATCTGAGCAGTCTGGGATTTGTTTTTATTTTATTCCAAGGTTAGCCATCTTTACCATCCTTTCGCATTGCATATGAGAAGTACTGCAATTTTATTTTAAAGTTACAGTCTAGGATTTACATGCCACTCTGTTTTTGTAAGTGCAAACTGCACCCTTCCTGTAAATGATCACTGTGCAGAAAGAACCTTTGCAGGGACCCTTTAAGTTAGTTTGCCAGTACAATCAACAACTAATCTCACAATTACAGAGGCCTAAACACGCAGCTTCCATCATGGAGCTGTACACACACTACATCATAGTCAATTGACTACAATCCTATTATGGTAATCTCTTTATTTGGCATTATCCTGTTCTAAGGTTTTGTTGGTCTTGTGCTTGTCTAGTCGAGGCCTTTGTACATGTTTTTTGTGAATAAGTGAACACAGTGTGCATTGTGTGTGAAATATGTTTCAGTTCAGGTGTAGCAAAGCTTAAAAAAAGGTTAGCACCTCGCTGTCCCCCCGGGACATGGTGCGGATCATGCTTTGTGTATTGTTTGCTGTGGGCTGGCAGGATCTGACGCTGCAATCTCTCTATTTTCGACTAATGTTTTGTGTGCTCTTTGCATTTCAATCAGGGATCTTGGAACAGCTCGAGTGATGTATTTATTTGTGCAAGATGCAGTGGTGTAAATAAAGAGAATGCAGACAACTACAATAGCTTATACACAATGAGAGGGATCTGTCACCTATAGAATGTTCTTTATGATAAATTGTATTGATTCTAGTAATGCAGTGCATTATTACATATGGCAAATGAATGTTAATCTGTTTTTACCATAAAGTATCTTGCAAGAAAGCTGTTCTGTGAGGCATATTCAATCAGATTATCCTTCTAGCCTTGTTTGATTTGTTTTGGTTTTTTCTTTGCATCACAGACTATTTGATGGGTATAAATGGTTGATCATGTGGGGGTAATCATTTTTTTAGTTCTTGAATTTTTGCAGTTATTTAAAATTACTGATTGCTCACGAAGATGCCAGTGACATTAGTCTTCACTCAGGTCACACAATGATTTTGGCAGGAAAGGGGACAGCTTTCATACAGACACTAATATTCTTATGCAAAAAAAAAAAAATTGTCCTGCGCTCAAACTCTCACTACTCTTGGGCGGCAGCAACGACCACAGTACACATCAGCCCCAATACATACAGTAAAACCAAAGGAGAAGGGAGGTAAAATTGCACTTTTAGATATAACCCCAATGAATAAAATGTTTTTGTTAGGGTATATTTACTAAACAGGGATTTTTATTTATTTTGTATTTGGGCAGTAAAGTGTCCCTTTAACCTACAGTATCTTCCATGAATTTTGGTGAGATATCAAGCAAGTCACTTAAAGGACCACTCGAGGCACCCAGATCACTTCAGCTTAATGAAGTGGTCTGGGTGCCAGGTCCAGCTAGGGTTAACCCATTTTTTCATAGAAACTGCTATGTTTATCAATGGGTTAAGCCTTCCCCTATTTACTCTAGTGGCTGTCTCATTGACAGCCACTAGAGGCGCTTGCGTGCTTCTCACTGTGATTTTCACAGTGAGCGCACGCCAGCGTCCATAGGAAAGCATTATGAATGCTTTCCTATGTGACCAGCTGAATGTGCGCACGCAGCTCTTGCCGCGAGTGCGCATTCAGCCGACGGGGAGGAGAAGAGGAGGATCGGAGGAGGAGAGCTCCACACTCGGCGCTGGAAAAAGGTAAGTTTTAACCCCTTTCCCCCTTCCAGAGCCGGGCGGGAGTGGGACCCTGAGGGTATGTTTTCCTGGCACTATAGTGGTCCTTTAACAGATGCCTATGCTCTCTAGTGATATCTTATATAGACCCCTATTTTGTACTTTTGACAGGCAGTGCAGAGAAAGAAGTAGTTCAGGTACATTTATCCCTTTCCCATCCTCTGCACAATGTAAGCTTCAGGTCAACGGGAGGGAGACTTTGCAAAAATACAAAGACCCTCCCATAAGACTGCCATTTTGAGATACTGCTATTTAAAAGGCTCACAAAGGTACAGCCAGAATATTAATTAGTAAAGAAAAGTTACCTGCGCTCTTCCCAAATCCCTATGCCTATTTAAACAAATGAAGGTTATTTAGTTGCTCCAATGGCCATGAGAGGGTATGCCCACCTGCCACGTCAAGGCAAACCTCTTAGGTGGGGCCTCTTGAGTTTAGCGCTACTGATCTAAACTCCCAGGAAGTAACCGGAGCGGTTCTCTGATTTGAAATCCAAATGAGTGTAACCATGTTAGAAAAGGGTCAATTTCTATTGAAATCTGCACTTTTTGCAAAATGGGGGGAAAAATTACTCTTTACACGTTAAGCTTTTTAGCAAGTTCTAGTGCTTTAGGGGTCTGCAGTGTCCCTTTAATGTAGGCAAAGATAATTAATGTTGCTGCACTGCCTTTAGACATCTTTTTCCACCCAATATTTGCTTTGTTAGCGATAAAGAATCGTTCCTTGCTTTCTCTCATCTTTATCATCTATAAGTTTGAGTTTTTCCTAAATATTTTGTTTATGAAAATCTAATAGGTGAAAGTACCGCTGTCACCTATTAAGTCGGAACGGTCACTTATCTGGAAATTACACCATTAAATAAACAATTGAGATTTCTTATAACCTGTGTTGACCTTTTTTAATGCAGTGCTCCATTTTTATTTAAATGTTTAGTAAGATTTGCCAAGTAACATCACATTACAGATTATTCTAGGCAAAACCAGAGCACGTAATGCAAATGAACAAGATAACAGAAGCATGGTTGGTTCCTCATCTCCCATTATGTTCAATGACAAAAAGGATGGCATTAAAGGGACAGTATAAGCACCAAACCACTTGAGCTTAATGAATTGCATTTGGTGTATAGATCATGCTGCTGCAGTCTCACAGCTCAGCTCTCTGCCATGTAGAAGCTAAATCTCTTTGTTTATGCAGCCATAGCCATACTTTCCTTTTTTCACCTTTCTTACCTCTTGCTATGTTAATTGCCATCAGACGCCTCCTGTGCACGATTAAAGTCCAATTAACAGAGCAGGAGGAAATAACTTCTCAAATAAACATATTTTGCTGTAAGATCCAATTTTGAAATGAAACCATCTCCTCATTTAGGTGTGAGTCACAGTAAGAGGCGGTATGGCTAGGGCTGCATAAACAAAGTGATTGTACTCCTAAATATCAGTGAGATTGCAGGGGTTATGAGTTACACACCGAAACTGCTTCATTAAGCTATAGCTGTTTTGGTGCCCAGAGTATCCCTTTAATAACAAATGATTGTCAGGGAGCCAAGATTGAGGTGCCCAGTTCTAGGATAGATGTGATTTTCTGCATTTAGTTTTTATATTTCAGACCTCGATGGTCTCTCCTTTTCACTCTGTTTGAAATTAGCCATGCAATGCTTTTATAGAAACCAATAAATACACTTATGAGTTGATTATTTTGCTGTAAAACTGTAGCAATACGGTTGTAGGTTTTCACTTTTTTTTTTTTGATTTTCCACATAATCCTTGAAATACATTTTTTAATAATTGGAAAATACTGACATACTAATATAGGCTAGAAAGTACTGGCATATTTCAAATATTTTCATATCTTCAGTAATAGTGATTGCTTTTCTAAAAGAAGACCGAAATTGTATTTTAACCACAATGTACCGAGTCACTTGCCTCTTCCCCTTCATAAATTCTTCTTTTTATTTAACTAAATAGAGACTATTTATTTAACCAAATAGTGACAAATCTCCTATATATTGAACAAGATGTTTTGTTTCTTGTGCCGCTTGTTAGATTGTTAGTCTTGTACTTGGGTAATTAAATTATTCGTTATAGATTAGTTCAGTTTGTTTATAGAAAATCTATGTATTACACAAATACTAGACAAGCTTGTTTCTTTGATTACCCCCTATTAGAAAGGAATACCAGAACATTAAGCTGTAGTTGTTCTGGTGACTATAGTGTCCCTTTAATGTAGTTGTTCTGGTGAGTATAATCATTGCCTTCAGGCATTTTTATGCAGAGAAAAGGCAGTGTTTATATTGCTCCTAGGGACACCTCCAAGTGGCCACTCCTCAGATGGCCACTGGAGGTGCTTCCTGGCTCAGTGCTGCACAGTAGGCAGCCCTGCCGTTCAGCGTCTCCACGCTCTGCATGGGGGATGCAGAATTTTCCTCATAGAGATGCATTGATTCAATGCATCTCTATGAGGACGTGCTGATTGTCCAAAATGGCGTTTGGACCCGCCCCCCTTGCCAATCCAATGCTTTCCCATTGGCTAAAAACCAGCAATTCTGATGTTACGGAGGGGGGACAGTGCCGGCGGACTTGCACAGTGCTGGAAATAAGGTGAGTTTTTATTGCTTTTAGGTGGCAAGCCACCTAAATGGTGGGTTTTTCACTATAGGGTCAGGAATACGTTTGTGTTCCTTATAAATTTAGGGTCCCCCATGGTTTCATTTAAAAAAAATTAGAAGCACTAGGAATATAAAGTATGACAATCGCCCACCAACAGCATGTTACTGCTAGAGAAGCATTGGATCCTACTCATTACTGCCTTGATATAGCTAGCATTCAAAGTGAGTGAGCATGGAAAAAATAAATGTAAAACATGTGTCAATAGAAGAAAAGAATAAATAAATATACAACACAGTGTGTATCAAGAAATATAAAAGAAATAAGAGACCTAAAGTACATAAATTATATCTAATAAAGCTGCAGAATGGGATCCAAAGAGAAATCTTAATTAACAAGTCCAATGTTATTTCCATATATCCAAAAGAAAGTGATGATAATACTAGAAAATATAATCATAAAATAAATTTATACATACGTATATACATAAAAGTGCTAATGAACATACATGCAATTAATATGAAACATCCAATAAAGTGCACCAATAATTAATAAGGTGCATACTTAACAAAGTGCTATAATCAATAAAGTGCGTACTATAATAAAGGAACATCATAGTGTCAGGAATACAAACGTGTATTAGGTGTAAAAATCTTGCCTCCCGTGAGCAAGGTATTTTGCTTACATTTTCCCCACGCCACGCTGGTCTTGTCACGGCTGGCCTCACCCACTCCGCCTCCTTGGCTGAGATTAACAATTTTGATGATATCGGTCAATGCAATGTTTCCCCGTTGGAAAGGTTTTTCTCGGAAAAGGCAGTTTTTCCATTAAAATGTCTGCAAGAGCATACGGTACACGCCAGATGAAATACATTAAGCTGTAGTTGTTCTGGTGTCCCTTTAAGATGAAAAAAAATGTGCTTCTCCCAGTCTTCTAATCACCACTGTCTCATCAGACATCTATGACTTCATCAAGGGATGTATGCACCCCTAATGAAGTCAAAACTGCATGATGAAACCTGTTGGGAGGAAGACGTTTGACACCAGGTGTTTTCTAGTAGTGGATCTAGAGTAAGGACATAGTTTCCATGGTGATGACTGGTGGGACTGAATATATATATATATATATATATATATATATAATGAACCAAAATGCACTTATTTGTTTAATGAGATGAAGCAGTTACCTGCAGTGAACGTTTAAAGTGGCTTCCATTCAGCTTTAAAAAGTTTTGAATGTTTTAATACTAAACAAGAGTCTACAACAGCCCACCCCCCTGTGCTTTTTGGACTAATGGGGAAGCATTTAACTTGCTATACTACACTATGTGCACTTTGTACTTTTTTTTCTTTCTTTTTTTCTTCTCTTAAACAGGGGAATCTATTGAGTACTACGTAGTTCTTTCTGTTATTGCCGAATGTTTATTAGACTTAACATACATGTGCCCCCGCTGGATATATTTGCAGTTTGTGACACAATGGAGAGAAGTGTTAAAGCGGCACTGTCATGCCGAACTTACCTTTCTTTAATCGATTAATCTTCTCTCCCTCTCTCAGGATCTGTACTTCATTTCTTCCAGTTTTCTTTAAAACATAAGACAAAGTGGGGACTACTTTGCTCCTACGCTGGTTAAGCGTAGGCAACCTCGATAAGACAAAGTGTGCTTCATTTCTAGTGATCAAAGCAATTTTCCCGGGGGAAGGAAGGTTAACATTTTCATTTCACCTGCCGCTCACGGGTGGGGGTCGGGGGGATGACAATAGGTCCCTGCCACCCCCGACATTTTCATTTAGGGCCCCCACCCACCGCCCACTAGGGATTTAAAAAATATATATATTTTATAGTGAGTAGGGGCAGAGTTTACTAATACTAAGTAATCTTTACTTAGTATTAGTAAATGTGGCTGAAAGACCAATTTAGGACTTTCAGCCTTTTGGTAGATAGTTCCCTGATACCGTGGAAATTAGGGAACTATCTAGTTTGGCATGACAGTGCCGCTTTAAGTGAGCTGCAAATCGTGGAAGTCCTCTATCCTTGCATTGTGTTTTTCACTGTATTTCTTTTTGCATGCATGGCTATCAACCAGTCTTTGGGGTACACATTAGTGCTGCTACCTAGTGCATAATTTAAAATACTTCTTCTGGGGGTTACAAAAGTGCTTCAGAGGGAAGTGTTTTTTATACTTAACCCCTTAATGACACAACTTCTGGAATAAAAGGGAATCATGACGGAATATTTCTGTTGTGTCCTTAGGGGGTTAACTCCTCTCCCCACTAAATGCTTCCATACAGAATTATTTGCCAACTTCCCCAGGCTAAAATAATTGATCTGTGACTATAGTTGAGCTGGAGAATATTTCAAGAGCAGCTATTTTTGCCTACATTTTTTTTTCCATGGATATTTTTTCTACAATTCAGAGGTTTAATGATTAACCCCGACAGTGTTTGCTGGTGTGCAAAAAAAAAAGTGTCAAAAGCTAACTTTACATTTTGTTCTTACTCCACACTATAGCATTGTTGATGGCGAGTATTCAATCAAGTTTTCTACCTTTTATTTTTATAAAATGCTTCTCTATCTTCTGATAAAGAGACATATATTTGAAAAGCATTGATAATACATCTGGGACTGTCTTCCTTGTTACTGTTTGTGTGAAGCTTCAGAAAGAATGGAACAAAGTTTGATGCTGTTCAGAGAATGATTTGCTTTTCACATAAAAAGTTAATTTGCTTTTCCCACATGACCGCGAATGGAATGTTTAAAACTGTGTGTTCCACAGAATTTGTCCCGTTGCTATTGGCTGGTAGTCAGAAACTTGATATGTGTACAGAAGCCATGGGACTAATATGACAAGATCATTGTCTCTGTTCAGAAATCAAATCACTAACAAGCTCAGCTTGAGGTTGTACTGGGGCCCCTTGCTCTGGTAGGATGTATGCCCGTATTTCTTTGTGTGCTTGGCTGGCATAATTTGGATGCTTTTAGATGTTTAACTGCCAAGCGAATGTTAAATATGTAACAATACTCAAACCTAAAGTAGTGTTAAGTAAATGAAACCTCAGACATTATAATAAAATCTTTTAAATGGGCATAAATATTTTGCATGTGACCGTGACAGACAAAACGTCCTCCCCAATCAGTAATATTGTGTCCTGTTGTAACTCTTGAACGAATACAACTATTGATGTAACAATGCAAACTAGCATTAAAGGGATACTATAGTCACCAAAACAAATTAAGCATAACGAACCCGTTTTAATGTATAGATCGGCGGGGGTATGTGACCTTTGGCACTCTAGATGTTGTAGACTTCTTCTCCCATAATGCACTTACAACCGTAATGCTGGCAAACCATCATGGGAGATGTAGTCCACAGCATCTGGAAAGCCGAAGGTTACCTTGCAATGGTATAGATAGTGTCCCATGCATTCTCACTGCTCATTTCTCTGCCATTTAGGAGTTAACTCACATTTTTGTTTCAGTTTATGCAGCTCTAGCCACACCTCCCCTGGCTGTGAATGACAGTCTGCATTCATTTTTTTTCAGATGTTGAAGGGATTCTATAGTGCCAGGAAAACAAAGCCGTTTTCCTGGCACTTTATGTCTCTACAGTGCCCCCTCCCTCCCTGGGAGCTGAATGGGGTTAAAATCTCTTCAGTCACTTACCTGAATCCAGCACTGATGTCCCTCGGAGCTGGGTCAGGCTCCGCCCATGCTTCTCAGCTGACGGCGGGGGAGACCTAATGCGCATGCGCAGCAATGGCCCCTAATAAAGCATTAAATTACTTATTTCCTATGGGGGGGGAAACTGACGCTGGAGGTCCTCATGCAGAACGTGACGACGTCCAGCATGGACCTAGGTCCGTTTCAATTCAGGAAGCCCTCTGAGTCCTCTCAGAAACTACAATGTTTTGCATTGCAGCACTAAGTGCAAAAGGGACATTGCACACAGACCAGTTTAATGAGCTGAAGTGGTCTGGGTGCCTACGGTGTCCCTTTAAGTTTATTTTAGAAGTTTTTTGTTTTTTTCCTGCTCTGTAAATTAAACTTTTATGACACACCAGAGGCTCCTGCAGTGTCTAGAAGGTTAACACAGCAGGGGATAAAAAATTCTAAATTAAACAGACTGTGCAATAAAGCGAACTAAATGGCAGAGGATTGCGCAGTGAGACTGCAGGGGCAATGTTTTTAAAGAAATCAAAGATTTGCAAATTTTAAGTCTTAATTGGAAACTTCTCAAACTCCATTTAAATTTTCTATTCTCCACAACCCTTTAGAGAATTTATTTACTAAACTCTGCTTATTATACTTCAGTTCCCCAAAAAAGCAGATTAATAACATACGTTCTTTGATTAAGCAAATTTTAGAACCTGAAATCTGGGTTATTTTAAGTTCAAAACAATTCGTAAACCAAATTGTGTGTGTTTTTTTTTTTTTTGTTTTTTTTTTTTAATACAATAACCTTGTAACGAACAGGAGAATAATTTCGTGATTTTTTTTTTTTTTTTATCTTTTGTAATACATTTATTAAAAGACAGGTATGAATCATGATCTAATATAAAAATAGTAAATCTACAGATAAAAGAAAAATAGTGCATAAGGCAATACTATATACTCCACAAATAGGAAATGTGATACTAGACTCACGGCAGGAAATGGAATGTGAAGCTTGTATCCAACATATTTACAACCAGCTTTCTTCTTGCTATATGTTACACTCTATTATCACTATATATTACACTCTTTATTGTGTTGAAATCTCTCTGATGATGTCTGTGCAGTATGGATGGAACACCGTAGGGCTTTTAATATTTTGTACTTTTTATGGTTTCATCTGGACTGCGCTTCTGTCGATGTAGGAAATATAATCAGAGGAGGGATAAAGAGGGAAACAAATGAAATACAAGCTAGGTCATTTGATTATGTTTCTTGACCGGTGTAGATAAACGAGTAGTGAGTATGATTTATAGAGAGAGTTCTCACGTTATGTACTCAGGCACGAACGGTCAGTGGTATAGCAGGTCAGTCTATATGGGGTCAACCGATGCCCAGTCTGGAGGCTGTGTTTACATGCCTGAAAGTAACGTTAATGAGCCACCCCAGCTGCTCCTCGGTACCCTGTGTGTCCTCATCTGTTTCACTGCGCAGTCCGGCTGAGGCGCCACGCCTGCCCAGAGACTCTCTTAGAGCCAGGTCCACTGTCTCACGGACTTGCCGCCGTCCTGCAGCCAAGTCCTTCCCCAATGTGGGTCTGCACTCCGTCGCTTTTGCAGGTGGCTCGCTCTCCTCCAAAGGCGTGAGTGGTGTATAGGGGCTGCACCCCTTGTGGCTCTTTTCCCAGGTGGGCCAGCAGTAGTACAGAAAGCCGGTTCAGTGGTTGCTTTGCCCGGTTGGGGCCTTTCCGGCTGCACCCTGGTATTTCTTTCTTTTTTTTTCTTTTTTTTTTTTTTAGGGAACGGAGCTCTGGCTGGCTCTCGTGCTGTGGATGGTCTGACACTGGTGCTGACCGGTGACTGTGCTGGTGGCTGTCGCCTTTTCTCCAGGGGTTCCCTGAATTGCCTGCATTTGTCGTCAAAATTTTTCTGGAAGGCTTCTGCCCTGTCGCTGGATGTCAGTCGGACTTTGCATGTAGTGGAGCAGTTGGCCATCTTGGTCAGGCCTAGTGTCTCCTATTTTCCAGATTTGTGCCCTGGAGCGATTTGGAGGTGAGTGCTCTCTTTGCTCGGGTATACCGGGATGATCCTCACCGGTCCAGAATGAGGGGAACAAGGGCCCTAGTGCAGGTGCTCGGTTTGTCACGGCAGCAGGAAAACGGCCGTCTCTCCCGCACCTGCCATGCTTGTAGACCCTATATTTTTAGTCGGGTGAGTATCGCTTGTTCAGTTTGATGTCACCTCTCGTGTGGTCGCCTTTTCGCATCGCTTTATTGCCATTTGGGCATTGAAATTTCACTTTGTTCTTTGCATTTGTTAGGAGCTGTTGAGGTTTCCTTCTTCTCAGCTCTGTGGTCAGGCCCTGCCCCCGGGTAGGTGGTGTTTTAACTGATCTTACAGTGATATACTCTGTTCTCTATTTTGCAAGTGAGTTTAATCCAATAAAGTGTGCAGTTTGCTTTATAATGTACACTGTGTATTGTTTTTTTTCTTCTGTCTGCATTTATTGCTCTGAGGAACTGTGAAAGTGAAGCAAGATGGAAGCTGGTTGTTATGTGGCAGATAGGCTGTTGTGGGTGCAATGCAGCATATTCTCTTCGTTGTGTACATAGTATTGTTCTATGTACTATTTCTTTTATCTGTAGACTTGCTGTTTTTACATTGCGTTCTGAAGATTTTGAGGTATTATTTTTTAGTCTTATAGATTTATAGTTCAGGGTAATTCATTGCTTTTTTTCAATTTGTTGTGATTTGTCCCATTATTAGCTACGGTTATTTTTCTTGGTGACCTACTTTATTGATTTTTTTTTTTTTGATTTTTTTCTAAATCTGAAATAAAAATTTAATCTGCTGTCTGTATTCAAGTGGACTTAATTACTTAATTTTGCCTGTTTGCATAATTCACGTTTTTTTGCCGGTTTGAGGCTCTGACCTGCAACGAAGTCTATTGAAGCATATTACAAAGTAGGAAACATTTACTTGTGCTGTGTTTTTTTTTTTTCCTTTTTCAGTTCAAATGTCCGTTTATTAATGGATCGTGGCAGTGAGAGTGTTAGTGTGAGTCAGAAGAGTAGTGTTTATAAGATCATGAGCCACAGTTGTGTGCACAATGCCTGTGTTGGTGGCAGAGTGCGCAGTAAGAGCCAGAGGACGACACATCCAGTCTTCTTCTGCAGGAGAAGCCGGATTGCTCTGTAAAGCAAAGTATGGACTTGCAGGATATCTATTAACCAATGAGCATAGTCCTACATAGGCCATTCTTTATTCAACAGAGAATTTTTTTTTTTTTTAATTCCCCGTCAGACAAGAATGCAGAAGATGTGAACTCCCATCACGACCCAGGTAACTTATCACAACATACCGTGGAACAGCACCTGCGGACTCCTGGAACTATAACCACTATAGCTTGCCTTAATGTTTGTTTGGAGTGTTTTTTTATACACACACTTAAATATTTCGACTCCAGGAAGTGTTATAAGTTTTGTCATATCTTTGTGGGAACATCTATGCTATGTTAATTGAAGCATGAACATACAAGAGGCTAGTACTCTTATTATATTCTCTGTACAACTCTCCTGTTAAATCCGTATGTCCATGCAGAAGGTTTGCAAGGCTAAGTGAAGAGATCCTCGTATTGTGTGTAGGACTTGTGACATTTATTCTTCCTCTTTTGTAAAACTTAGTCACTGCTAGTTAAAAAGTTAAACATTTAGATTGGTTGTGCTACCCTTTCCTTTTGATAATTTTTCAAAATTAAATATACATACTTTGCCATTCTATGTATGTAAATTGGTTAACTCTGTAGTTCCATACACAAAGCGCGCATGCACCACACTGCTTGAGGGAAAAAACAAGCGTGCATTTACTTACCTCTGTTTTTTTTTTTTTTTCCAGCATTTACTATGTTGAAGAAATGAGGAAGTGTCTCTTCTCTGGAAGTGACAATTCCTCTATAAACAAAGTCATTTAGAATGATTGTAGGAATTTTTCACAAACATTTTTAATCTGAAAATTCCATGATTAGATATAGAAAAATAAATAAAAACCCTATACATCTGATGGAATATTTATTCATTTTTCTCATATAGGCGTTAATACATGTAATCACTGGGACAATGGGAAAAGATAGCAAGTAACAGGATGTGAAATGGGGGTAGATTTTGGATGTGCACGGGTTGATCAATAGTTTTGTGGATGTGTAGTGGGAGGATGTGGACTTGTGAATGTGCACTGGGGTGGGAGGGGTATAGATTTGTGTAGTTGGAGGTGAGGAATTTTTCTTTTTTTTTTTAGTGTGGATTTAGTGTTTTTTAATTAGTGGTGGGTGGATTTCCAGCCCTGAATGTCTATATAGAATTTTCTATCAAATGTGTTTTGGAATAGATGGTTTAATCTGTTTTTCAAAACCAAAGATAGCCTGGAAAGTTGTTAACCTGTGATGTACAGTTTGTTTTGCTAAAGACCTGAAAATCGCTAATATGCTAAGGAACTGTGAGAGGCACATAGAATACAAGGTCTCACTTTTAATCTTCTACCCCTCCCAAAAAAGTAAGCAAACAAAGCGCTCTCATATTGTGTAGCAAGTAAGTAATAGAAACTAGCACACAGCTAAATGGATTTGGTTTTAGACACTATAGGATTTGCACATAAGACAGATTTTAATTTTCTCAAGGCGTGACGTTTTGTCGCCCTGAGCTGGCTGCTCTTTTCATGTAATTTCAAGGATTCTTTTTTTTTTTTTTTTTTAATGGTCTCAGTACTTGCACAAAGCTTAGAGATATATCCACAGGAGGGATTCCTATCTGTTTTATGTAAGGCCTGCGGTTCCCAGCTTTATAGCGCAGTGTCTGGAGAGGGGATTGAAGGGATAGGGGACGACAGCCCAGATTGCCAGCAGGGTGTCCATAAAACAGATTGCCAGCTAGCTGAACATGCCCTGTATTTTTTATTTATACTTCTATATCTTTTTTAATGGATACTTTTTTTTTTTTTCCGTATTTCCAAGTGTGTCCTGGATGTATATACAACTGACTGCATCCTGGTTTTTTATTTTATTTTATTTATTTTATAAAATCTTTTATTTTTATTTTTAAAGGATACATTTGAGATTTCTCTCATTTTCAAGTATGCTCCTTAAAGGATACTATAGTGGCAAGAATACAAGCTGTATTCATGGCACTACCGACCCTCCTGCCTTCACTCCACACCTCCCCTTCCCCCTGTAAGTAAAGGGTTTAAAACACTTTATTTACCTTTTCCCAGCGCTGTTGTCCCTCTGCGTTGGGTAGACGCTCTGCCCCTTTCAACGTCTTGCCATAAGCAGGCGATAATGCGCATGTGTGGCAATTGACACACACACATTAGACTTTCACTGATTCATTGATTCATTGATTAATGCTTTCCTATGGGGAACAATGACGCTGGATGTCCTCATGCATCAGATACTGGACCAAAGGTCTGTTTTAATCTAGGAAGCCCTCTAGTGGCTGTCTGGGAAACAGCTAATGGAGGCAGACTTAGAGCTACAATGTAAACATTGCAGATTCTCTGGAGCTGCAATACTTAACATTGTAGCACTAAGTGCAAAAAAAGACACAGCACCCAGACCATTTCAATGAGTTAAAGTGGCCTGGGTGCCTATAGTGTCCCTTTAAGGACACACAAATACAATGCCATACGTTTAAATGAGATTTGTATATATAATACAGTAATAAAGAGAATATGTGCAGCTGCCTTTTGGTTGCATGTAGATGTATTCTGATATATTCAGGTGAAAATTTCAAATGTATGGCTGCTTATTCCACGTGTGTACCTGCTGAGGAGGTGAATGTTTTAAACCACCCTTTAGAGTTGATGGATGGTAATAAGTAAGGTGCTGGAAACCGAACAGAACAGAAGACATATGGGAGTGGAGGCAGCTGAAGTGAACATACTGCTCAAACATTTTGAAATTTTTCCAGAAAAGTTGTTAGAAAACAGATAAGAAAGGTGAAGGATATGTTTGGATTCTAGAGTTAGCCAGCTTAGTGGTTTCAACATATGATGGGTATTGCAGTAACATTGCAGAACAACGCACAAAAACATTCAGATTGTTCAGTTTAGTGGGATGAGTTTACGGAGCTGATCCATATGTTGCGTCTCCATATTCTGACTGCTATTAATATTTGCTGTATAATCGTTTTTTTATGGAAAGGTCTAAACAGGCATTGTTTCTGCACAGATTAGCTAGTTTGGGGTAATGTTTGGAGGGCAGGTCTTCAATAAGAAAGCCAAATGGAGAGATTGAGTGCTAGCCGCCTTCCAAGATACTTACAGTAGGCGACTGTCTAGGTTACATTTGGACCTTACAGAAAGCAAAAAAAGTGTGCAGCGCATAGTGATGAAAATCGCCAATTAGTTCACTCTAAACCACTTTGGGATATTTTGCGTCACATTCAGTAAACCTCTGTGAATGTTTTATTGCACTTTTAGATTATTACATTTGGACCTTGTCAAAATGCTTGAATACCGTTGCAACATACTCTTATTTATAGCAATCCATCTTTCAGACACTGAGAAATGCTATAGCACAGCCTCAGGTCATTATAATGTTGTCATCCACATGCATGTGCACTGTTAATGCATTTCAAGGTTATCCTAAGTGATGTTAATTTCTGCTCTTAGCTCACCAACATGTTCTTTAACTTGGTTACATGTATTTATTTTCTGCTTCATTTGGGGGGTGTGTGTTCCCCAGTTCCTTGTTTAATTACACATTCATATTAATAAACAAACACATTTCTCTTATAATTTAAACCATAGCAAGTGATAAAATGGCGCTGTGAAATTTTTTCAATAGCGGCAATTTATTTTGTGTGATAAACTAATACACAAAATCTACTATACTGGTTAACTCTATAAGGTTCGCTGTGCCCTTAAATAAATTATAAATATAGGTGCCTTTGTTAAATCTATAAATAACTATTCAAACACACGTGTCCAATGAAATTCTTTGTGCGAACGGGATCACCACAACTCCTTGTGTAAGCCATGTCATCCACAACATTGCACATACAAGAAAAAGGAATCATACGTAGTGTAAAACCAAGATATACACATTTGGGGACGAGGAAATTTTTCTGTGTACTCACAAGTACAGAGCAGGTAGACACTGCTCAAACTGTAAAGGCTCTAAATGTATTATTCCAGGTTTGTGGTACCCCATACAACAAAAACAGAAGCGATGGATGACTTAAAGCAGACTTTATTAATTGATCACAAAGCACAAGCAGGAAACTAAAATTTTCTATTGCATCCCTGATACCAGTCCTCGGTTCCGGTCAGAATGAATCTTTGCTGTCGATATTTGTCTTCCAGACACTTGTAGACTGCTTGCCGGGCTAACTCTGGGTAGAGGTAAGGGCAGCCTGGTGGATAAACAATGAGAAAGTAACCTGCGCTCTGGCCCAAATCCCGTTGTACATTTAAAACTTTCTCTTTGTTTTTACCATGTATTTTGAGCTGTCCGATACTAAGCCACTGTTGCTGTAAGCGTGGTGCTTTATTTTGTGTTTGCAGCCTGTGATGTATGCCTGCGTACAAGACTTAAAGCGGCACTGTCTTGGCCGAATCCATTTAAAAAAAAATTTAAAAAAATTAAACCCCCTTCCCAACTCCGCTACATCTAATTGTCCCCCTAAGCCCCCCATATTACCTCTTTTTAAATCTTTATTTTCTGCCCGGACCTAGGTCCTGGGCGCCACCATCTTTGTGTGGGTAGATTAAGTCCCTGTGGGACACGTCATTTGCCCACCCCCTCCCCTCCGAATGGTGACACATAGTGTCCCCCCCCCGCCCCCCCCCGAACCAAGGACACCCTTGGCGGAAGGGTGTCCTAAATTATAATAATCGTGCCTATTGTCCTCCTTCCTGCCCCCGCCCATGGGTGATGGGTGGAGGCTAAGTGTAAATACCCCCCCCAGGTGACTAGTAGTCCCTAATCCCCTAGTCACCCTCCTCCAACCTCAAAAAAAATTAATAAAGACCTACCTACCCCCTCACCCTAAAACTAATGAGGAAGGAACAATAAAACTAAATCCCTGTAAATAAAAAATAACTTTTTTTTCTAAAATCTTATTTTTTCAGCCCCCAAACAGGACAAATAAAAATCCATAATACCCGTCGAATTTGAAAATAAAATTTTAAAAAAATCTGACGAAAAAAAACTAAACCCGACTTGTCTTCACCCATGGAGGGCACGGCTTATAAAGCTTTTCCACACCCTGCACTTAGGTTTAGAGCACTCTGAATGCATGATTACAAGCCAATCAATCAGAGTGCTCTGACAGGTAAATGAAGAGACTGACCGGTAAGTCACTACATTTACCGGTCACTGACTTGAAATCCAACCAATCAGAGTGCTCGGTGTCATTTTACACAGTGTGGGAAAGTTCTTTGGAATTTATACTGGGTTGTTTGACATGCCCCTACTCACGCCAAAGCGAGTAGGGGCATAATTTACGAATACTCAGTCATCTTTACTTCGTATTAGTAAATTTGTCTGAAAGACCAATTTAGGTATTTAAGCCTTTTGGTAGATAGCTCCCTAATACCATGGGAATTAGGGCGTTATCTAGTAAGCGGCTGCAAGATGCAACCGCAATCGGTTCAGAAATTTCTATCTGAACAAAGTCACGAATTGCATCCTAACACGAGTTGAGAAACTGTTCTCATTCTGTTAGGACGAAATTCAGTGGTTTCATCGGTGTTCTGTCTAAATGACCGGAAGCATCGCAAGATCACGGAGGAAAGGTGAGAATTGTGAGAAAATTACTTTGAACACCGGAAACAGAGCACACTTTGTTCCTCCGCTGGTCAAGCGTAGGAAACCTCCATAAGGCAAAGTAGTCTCTACTTTGTCTTATGTTTTAAAGAAAACTAGAGCAGACAGGAAGAAATGAAGAACAGATCCTGACAGAGGGAGAGAAGAGGAATCGATTGGGGAAAGGTAAGTTTGGCATGACAGTGCCGCATTAAAGTTAGCATTAGACATCCCTACCCGTGTAGTTAGCAAGAGTGAACGTGTGCTAAAAAAATTGAAAATAATTTTTTTTTTTAATCTGATGTGGAACAAAAATGTATAAAAACTTAATATATTGTTACCCTATATTATCAACCATGAAAGGTTCCCCTTAAATAAAAAAAGATAAAACTTTAAATTTAATTGCACCATCCAATATAACTGAACATAAAACCAGAGCTTTCTTAGGTGTATGTAAAATAAAAATCAACATTACATAATGCTTTGAATTGTATACTTAGTATTCTGTTTACTCCTATACACCAAAACCTTGGATACACTGTAAATGCATTGTAAATTATAAGGCAAAACTGTAAACCTAGCAGGGCTGAAATAATCAGTTCCCACTACTTACGAAAGATCATAAGGCAATAATTGGTTATCCATGTATTATATATGTGTGGGGGGGGAAAGTATGTAGTTACTCCTAAACACACTGATATAACTGACATCAAAGAACGATCAGCGATGGTAAATCACACACATAACATTCCCTGACTTATAAAAAAAAAAAAAAAAAAATGTATATGTATAATGTAAAAAAATGCTAAAAAAAAATACTGTGACCAAAAAAATATATAACTAAATATGTGCCTATGCTAGTGTGGAGAAGCAAAAAAAGGTGTGCATAAAAGAAATGTATTTTCTGTTCTAAGTGTGAAAGAAAACCTAGCAAAAAAAACAAGCAACCATATAATATATTCTTGAAAAAAGTCCAGTACGATTAATGGGTGTTTATCACTGAACTAATCAACAATTTCACGTACAAAGTCCTTTGAGTGCGCTGTTCTTGGACTATTTATATAAAAAATAATAATGAAAACATAAAGTCAATGAAAATAATGACAAAAGATGAATAAAGAAAAAAAGAAAAGTTTAAATTTATTAAACTATCACAAAATACCTAAAATAAGGGAATGCAGTATTAACATTCTGATAAGAATGGTGTCAAAGGAGCTCTTGAGGATACGGTATCCAGTGTTTTAAACCAATGTACCTTTCTTTGAGACTAAATTTGGGCACTATTTCCACCTCTCTCCTCAATGATGGGATATAATCCAAGCAATAAACTGTAATGTAGTCTATGTGGAAATGGCCACCGGCTCTTCTGTCACGGAACGCAGTTGTGGTGGCTGGTCTATACCGTCCTATTCAATTTCTGACCGTGAGTTTAGTCTTCCCAATATATGAAAGTCAATTTGAATAGGTTATCATGTAGATAACGAACTCTGTCAAGCATGTGATGTCTTATCTATATCTCTTGCCTGTGTGGGGGATGGGCAAATTAATAACCTGACGTGATTACATTTCACACATCCAAGACACTTACAACAACCAGGCTTTGTAATCATTTCAAGTGTTTCATAGCTTCTATGTGGGTCCGTGTGGACCGATAAATCCTTGATGTACCTACCTTGATTCCTCCTATTGATAGGGCATTTGAAAATCTCTGGCATTGCGGCATATGCCGACAATTTATTCCAATGTTTATAAATGGTCTTATGGGAGAGTAGGTCATGTTGAATAGTATATCAAAATAATTCTCATTCATTCTAAATTTGGCTGTTGTTGATTTTGACTTTGGAAGAAGAGAATTGCTCTACAATTAGCCTTATCCAAAATCCATGAAGAACATCCTATAGTAAGGAATCTGTTGTCCATTGTCTATTTGTTTCTCAACTGTAAATTTATCAGAATTTTTTTCTCCACACTATCAAAAATTGAGAAATGGATAAAGCCTCCCTAAATGACGTGGATGACAACTTTGAGCTTGTAAGAGAGAATTGCAGACTGTGGGTTTCCGAAATAACATCTATCCAGGGATTGTATGCTCTGGGAATTCTTTGTCAAAGTTACATGCACTGAATGTGGTGCATTATTAATGCTGTCTACAAAAGATTATAAGGTTGATGCAGTATCTAGCTAAATAAGAAAGATGTCATCCAAAAAAAAGTAATACAGTAAAATATTGTCGCAATGATTAGTTCATATGTATTCTGTTTCAAATTGGTGCATGAATGCATTGGCATATGTTGGTGCCATCGCCACTCCCGTCGTGGTCCCTGAGACCTGAATATATTGTTTCAGTGCGAGTTCCAGTACTGCCAAAAGAAACTCAGTGGGTTGACCAATGTACTGCATTGACTGTTGCAGGATGGTGGATGTTGATTTTAAATCCATCTTCAAATTTTGTACACCTAACAGCCAAAATTGCATTGTTAAGAACTTCCACTGCACCCCAGGAAAAGACACTCTTAGCTCTCCTAAAGGTAGGGAGGCTTAGTGGGTCTCAATTAATACAAAAATGCGAGTGTGAGGCTGTCGGAGTGGGTGAGTGTGAGGCTGTCGGAGTGGGTGAGTGTGAGGCTGTCGGAGTGGGTGAGTGTGAGGCTGTCGGAGTGGGTGAGTGTTGAGGCTGTCGGAGTGGGTGAGTGTTGAGGCTGTCGGAGTGGGTGAGTGTTGAGGCTGTCGGAGTGGGTGAGTGTTGAGGCTGTCGGAGTGGGTGAAATAAGCCAATAATAGCCAGCTCCTTGGTTTTGCACCCCTCCCTGTTACAGGTGCCTCATCTCAGGATCCTATTTAAGCCTTGTACTGCAAAGAACTCGAGATGGAAGGATTTCCCCAAGTGAGTAGCTCATTTAGCAGACAGAGTAGGACCTGCCAAAGATGGGGTACATTGGCGTTGTGGCAGGCTTATGCAATGTATGATCATATAATGTAACTAAACCCCCATTATTTTTTTGCCTAGATTAGGTGTTTTTAATACAACAAAATTGTTCATTTTCATTTTTACTGAACCTATGGAATGTTCACTTTTAGAAACCTCACTAGTTGCACAATGTTGGGGGCTTTGATAGTCTCTGCATAAAATTCCAAGCATCTATCTTTACATTTACAGGTGTTCTGTCTGTACTGTACATTGCACCTTATATTTTAATACAGTAAAATATTGTCGCAATGATTAGTTCATATGTATTCTGTTTCAAATTGGTGCATGAATGCATTGGCATATGTTGGTGCCATCGCCACTCCCGTCGTGGTCCCTGAGACCTGAATATATTGTTTCAGTGCGAGTTCCAGTACTGCCAAAAGAAACTCAGTGGGTTGACCAATGTACTGCATTGACTGTTGCAGGATGGTGGATGTTGATTTTAAATCCATCTTCAAATTTTGTACACCTAACAGCCAAAATTGCATTGTTAAGAACTTCCACTGCACCCCAGGAAAAGACACTCTTAGCTCTCCTAAAGGTAGGGAGGCTTAGTGGGTCTCAATTAATACAAAAATGCGAGTGTGAGGCTGTCGGAGTGGGTGAGTGTGAGGCTGTCGGAGTGGGTGAGTGTGAGGGTGTCGGAGTGGGTGAGTGTGAGGCTGTCGGAGGGGTGAGTGTGAGGCTGTCGGAGGGGTGAGTGTGAGGCTGTCGGAGTGTTGAGGCTGTGGAGGGGTGAGTGCTGAGGCTGTCGGAGGGGTGAGTGTTGAGGCTGTCGGAGTGGGTGAGTGTTGAGGCTGTCGGAGTGGGTGAGTGTTGAGGCTGTCGGAGTGGGTGAGTGTTGAGGCTGTCGGAGTGGGTGAGTGTTGAGGCTGTCGGAGTGGGTGAGTGTTGAGGCTGTCGGAGTGGGTGAGTGTTGAGGCTGTCGGAGTGAGCGCACGAAAGAGAGCCTGTCATCAGTGTGTGTGTGTGTGTGCGCGCGCGCGCATATTAGGTACCTGCCCCTCCGATCGCACGAGAGAGAGGTGTTTTTTACTCACTTTTTTTTTTTTTCCCCGTGCCACTTTCGCCACGGTTGGTACCACCTCCATGGCTGAGATTATCAATCTTTATGATCAGCTAAGCCAATGCTTTCCCTTAGGAAAGCAATGGGAGGATTTTGTGCATGCGCAGCAAATGTGCCAATCCGCATCTCCTCAAAGGGATGCATTGAATTAATGATTCTCTGAGGAACATTCAGTGCCTCCATGCAGAACTTGGAGACCCTGGACGTTGGTATTTCTTGTGGCTGTGTGAATGATGGTCACTAGAGGTTGTAACTAAGCAGCAATGTAAACACTGATGAAAAGGCACTGCTTACACTGAAAAGCCTGCATGGTATATAGTCACCAGAACAACTACATCAAGCTGTGGTGATTCTGGTGACTATAGTGTCCCTTTAAGAATTTCATTTTTCTCGTTGAAAATGACAGGCTCCTAGATTCCAAACAAATTTGTCAAGCCCTGCATCAATGGGTCTTGAAAAAGTTGGAAAAGTTTTCTAATTCAGCTAACAAAGTTACAAAGAAAATGCAAGAAATTCATAGGAGGATTTTTATTGTCTTTCTTTTCATTTTCCAAACAAACAACAAAGTAAAATCAATGTGACTTTTCATTATTGACAGACTCGTTCTTATCTGCCATCACATGCTCTGCTCGGTTATTGCTCCTCTGCTAGCAAATGTTTTTATATTCTTTTCAATTTTACAGTATGCTGTAAAACTCTGCGGAGAGAGAAAACCCATGTGATGCATGGCCAGGTAGAGCATGCATGCCAATTACATTCTAGCACCATCCTATGTAAACACAGTATTGGTGCACAGAATTCTATTTGGCATAATACTGTGTTGTATTGATTGACGTTCTTATAAATAGGTACAAAGAGCACAGCCAATGCATCTACGGGTAAAGCAGTCGGGTTTTTGTATTGCAGTAGGAAGTGAATATCTTGATCAACATGATAGTTGATAAAAGAATGTTAAGAAAAAATAAGACTTAATTTAAAATTATATAATACAATAATTTGGAAAAAAAAATTATTTCTTTTGGAATGTTTTAAGTGTCTTCATAACTTTTGACACATTCAATTCCTGAACCTAGAGGTGTGGAACATGATTGAAATGTGCTAATAATTGAGACTTGCCTTCGACCTTCCTTTGAAGGTTTAGCGGAGCACGTCATCCCTATTAAGTAATGTCGGTTATGAACATTTTATTATAATGTTTTTCCTGCACAATCAAAAATGTTGTATTTGTCAATGTCACAAAGTGGCAGTCATGCCAAATTTGTTTTACGTTTTTAAAGTTCACCAATGTTTACCTCCTTCCAATTTCAGACTTAAAGGGTTACTCCAACCACCATGACTCCTACTACCATGACCACTTCAAATCACTGAAGTAGTCAGTATGTGTATTGTTTCATCCCTCCTATCTGCTTCTATTCCACAGTTCTTTGTGGGGGGGGGGGGGGTTTGTTGAAAAACCCTTCCTTCCTCCCTCCACTTGCCTTGTGACTGAGCCTGCGAAATGGTCCAATTGTGCATCCGAGGGTCGCAAAACATTAGCACCGGAAGTTTTGGCTGGTGCTTGGTTCTAGTTGAGTAAAACCTTTTTTCAGGTTTTACTGCAAATTGAGAAGGGGTCCTTCTCTACAGTACCGAATAGGGCATATTACACAAGGAAGATCACCCCTATAATAAGGGTTATAGTAACCCTGATGAGTTACAGATTTTCTATAGTTCGGAGGGTCATAAAAAGCTGCATACCAATCACTGCTCAGTGTCTAGGTTTTGTTCTCACACTGCATCGACTACAAACACTTACTTACATACATTACATTCCCTACTGCAGCTCTAAATGTTAACATAGTGGTGGTGGAATGAGAGGCGGGCCCTGTAGACAGAGTTGGGGCCAGCTCTGTGGGCAGACCCGGGCGGACTCCTGGCCTTGAGCTTTGTAAGGCGCCCCAAAATTTCTGATGGCAGCCCTCCTTGGCCATAAATACATTTATTACCGAGATTTTAGTTTACTGTATTATTTTTGCATATTTCCATTTTTTATCTTAAGACTTTATTTAAATAGGTAGATAAGGTAATTCCAGCATGTTGTATCAAATCTGATTTGAAAGTATATGTATATATGCAATTATATATATGTGTATGTACATACACTAGCTATATATTGATAGAGAAAATCTGGCTGTGTTAAATATGGAGTAATTTACCAGCAACAAATCTATGTAACTATAGACCAATATCTTTGTCCATTTGCCGTGTTTGTTCCTAAGGTTTATGCTGTCAAGCTGTTTTTGGAGTCACTATTCTCAGTACTAGATTAAATACCCTTCTGGTCTGGGGTGTATCAGCCGGAAGATGTGCTGTCATGGTAACTCCAGTTAACCTCTAAATCCACTGGCTTCAGAAGAATTTTAAACCTCCTCAGTTTGCCTTCCACCCACACGTCTTTCGATCTGTTGCCTTTAAAGCTGAATTCGAATGAAGCATGGCTAGATGACTAACTGGCTTACGTTCAGACCGCTCAACATGCTTGTATCATTATTACGTCTCTCATCATTAGATTTATTAGGTTGTTGCAATTGTAAAACATCTGAGGATTCCTTTTGCAGGATACAGTGTGCAGTCATAAGGTCAGTGACACGGCTGACTTTACTAGCAGCAATCAAAGACTGCTTCTCCTCATTCATGTAGTTATCATTTTTTAATGCTTCCAACGGCTCTTGGCTTTACCATACTCATTTGTGACTGGCGAGTGTATGAGCACATAAGAAAAAAAAAAAAGTTTAATGACACCGTTATAAAGTCTAATAAGTGAATCACTTGAGAATTTACCTCTAATGTGTATCTGATGAGCACAATTTTATAAATGTTGGCGTAGTGGAGGATATTTATAATGGTGACATTAACAGAAACTTGTTTTAATTGATCAATTTGCAGCATCTCAAGAGATATCTGAAGACCTGCATGTTCTTTTGGAGAAAAAAAAGTGTTGCCGTGGAGGCTGACTTGTGACAAACGATGCCACATATTCATTAGTCAAATAAGGAGATAAACTATAAAAATGATTTCACTTGGCCTATCCGTTGTCTGCTTACTTTGACCGGAATGATCTGTCTTTACAGTTCCTGACTGATCCAGTCTTACAGCCAAAATGTATCTGATACGCACAAACTCATTTTGAGACCTACAGCCTAAAATTGTTGTCTTGTTCTCATAAATAAAATTAAAAGCTGATCTGGGATACCGGTACACCCCCCTCCACCAACAAAGTTTAATAACATTAAGACACTATAATTATTTGTTTCACCTGTAGTTTTGCATTTAATCAGGTTTTAAAAAAAATGTTGAATTTGTAGAAGGAAAAAGAAGCCGCTTTGTTTCGGAAAAGTTATATTTCAAGCTACAACAAGTTTCTCATTCATGCCTAGCGGCTTTATGCAGTGTTTTAGTTCTTTAGCACACTAAACTAACATCAAGCAGAATTATTGCTAATGATGATTTTGCCTACCAGGAGAAAATTTGCAGGAAAAATGGTTTCAAATTTCTTAAAGGAACCGCAAATCATTTGTACTTCCTGGATGTTATGTGCAAACAATTGAAGCTGAGAGAGGATCTATATTACAGCTAAAGGGTTATAATTTCCACAAACGGGTCATTTAGCACAAACATTTCATACAAGCATCAGCTTTAATAGAATATCCACTTAATGTGATAAAAGGCTCACTTAGCATAAACCTCTACTTTTCCTTTAAGCTCTGTGCAAGTATGAAAATTCCAAATGCGTTTTTGAAAAGAAATATTATATAACACTGTTTACATGTTTTACTCCACTGGCATTAGAAGGAGCAGAGGGCCTCCCAAAAATAAATGGTTCGGGCATTCTGCCAAAACAAATCATAGGAAGCCGTTCTGAGTGTTTCTCCTTGCCCTTTGGCTGTAATTGGAATGGATATTCTGAGCTGGCTTACATGTGTGACCATTATTACTGACCAGGGGATATTAAGGGATCTTGAGAAGCCTGCTGGACCTAATTAGGGGCGCAAAATACTTTTAACGTTTTATCATCTTGCCTCAGACTCTATCCATTGTAATACGAATGGCATGTTAGTTACTTAACCCCTTAATTAACTATGACAGTCTCGGACATCACAGACCGTTGATTTCTAAGGATATGGCTCCACAATTAAATCAGATGGGCAGCTGCAGAAAATGAACACAAAATTTCATGTTGGCAAATATTTTCTACTGTAAACACTGAAATGCTCAAAACCCTATAAGTGACATCTTTTGTTATAATTTTTAGCATATCGATATGTTTGGCTGCACTATTGGTCTGTTTCTCTTTGTGGTATGTCATTTTCGGAGAACCAAATTATTAAAATCAAGCCTACAATCCTCTCTCCTGTTGCAGTTATTGTACTGCTCAAATGAGATAGAGAGAGAGAGAGAGAGAGAGATATATATATATATATTGTATTTTCTGGCGTACAAGATGACTTTTTAACCCTGAAAAATCTTCTCCAAAGTCGGGGGTCGTCTTATACGCCGGGTATAGGGTCTATATGGCTGCCGGGGGCGCCCTGCGACCCCATTACTGGCCCTTCTAATGCTGCAGCCGCCTGAGCGCTCTATAGAGAACGCTCAGACGGCTGCCGCACTGCCTCTCTTCTCACCTCTCCTTCCCTGTGCAGAGTGGGTGGCCGAGCTCCTCTTCGTCCTGTTGGTCCGGATGGGTACCGCGCGGTACAGGAGATTCAGTTACCTGTTCCCGGCCGGACTGAAAGGAAGTGCACAGGGAAGGGGAGATAAGAAGAATGTAGGGAGGATTGGGGGGGTAGGGGGGAGTAAAAAGAATGGAAGGGGGGATTAAAAAGAATGGAGGGGGGGGGAGTAAAAAGAATATATCGCAATTAGCCTCCTGTGTGCTAGACCAGCAGGCATGGATTATATGCCCAAACAGCCGGGCACATACCTGGGCTTTAAATGCTATTTCAGATTATCATTATTTAATGTCTTGCTGTGTAGCTCTGTCTGCTCACTGTACATCATGGCTAATTTTTATTTGGTGTGCATTGGAAGAGGGGTAGTCTTATACGGCGAGTATATCCCAAACTCTATATTTTAACTGGAAAAGTTGGGGGTCGTCTTATACGCCGGAAAATACGGTGTGTGTGTATATATATATATATACCGTATTAGACTATTTTATATATATATATATATATATATATATATATATATATATATATATATATATATATATATATATATATATATATATATATATATATATATATATATATATATATATATATATATATATATATATATATATATATATGTCAGTTTGGCTCTATGGTATATTGTACTATGATCTTTGCATAGTACACAAGATCCAGTGCTTTGTCTGTTTTTCCTACTCATTTTTTTCAAGCTATGCCTGTTATATCTACTCTACCACAGGAGGTAATTGCACTGCCTCTACATATAATTTAGAGCTTAGCACAACTTTTCACATTTTGAGTGATAGTCTGTTGATATGTTTCTACCACTTTTTTTGCTTTACAGAATTGTGCTATATTGTTGTCCGTCCCCCGTCCCCCCTTTCTTTTATACCGTGTCCTCTTAATGAAGAACAGACTTGAGTCATCGCTACTTATGTTCTTAGACCAAATATTGTTTATTTGTCAGTGCTTTTTTTGTGCCTGTGTGTCTGTTTTTTGTTTTTAAATTGAGGGCCTCTCAGTTTTGTGTCTGCTTAATATTCCTCCTGCCCCTTCTTTTTTAGTTTTTTTTCCCCCCCTATTTTCTATTTTTCTTAAGTGACACATCTTTCCTTTAATGTCTTCATTAATTTGTCAACCTCTGTAGTAGGGGGTAAAGTAAAAGTGGATAATCTATTCATAGGTAGGCGAGCTTCACTGAATGTTTTGGGTGGATTGAAGACAGAGCGTTAACTCTCCTCCCTCTCTTATTTTCTGTGCCCGTCTGCTTGAAAAACATGAATTGCCATGCTGCTTGTTCACCACACGCCACATTTTCCTACCAGTAGGGAATAGTTTTATGCAGCCCATTTTGTACACTTTGACTCATGGATCAATGATACCTATTGAGAAATATTTTATTTTTCACCTCCATGCTTCTGAAAAGTAGTAATGCTGTTTTCTTTGTATGCTTATCGCATTTCCAAAGGGCCATAAAAGGCATCCAAACAAATAGGCATGTCATAATGCTACATCTCGCAACACTTATTTAGGACTTCACTTATTATCCCTTAACTCCTTCACCACTAACCCTTTTATACACAGGGGAGCTAGAGGGGGGTGGGGGGAGATGGAGATTCTACTATGCGCTGCATGTCGTTTGCGTCATTCTCATATTTAAAAAAACAAATATAAAATTATAATTTATTACGTTTACTGGAAGTAATGATTCTAGTGGAGCTTTTTAGATGGGGTTTCATATTACTTTTATCTGCTGAGATCATTATTCACTAAGTACAATATTATAGTTAAATAAAACATTTAGCTAAATCGTGCTGAGATGGAGAGACAAAACTTCCCAAGTAAGCCTCAGCCACAACTTAATTATTTTTGTCTAGATTTTTGTCAAGACTCTCACCCATTCGGTGTTTTGTGTCTGAAATCTCATGTACCCTTTAAAATCTTTTTAGAATCAATTTTGGTAGAGTGAAATGGTGAAGTCGATCACCGAGTTAAATACTTTGTTTGCAGTAGCAAAACGCAGCACATTAAACATATGTTGACATAATTACCAGAGGGCCAATAATCTATATGTTTCTTCCCAAAGGAACGCAAAGCTCTTAGCATGCACTCTCTGACGTAAGCAAATTGTCTGCCAATAAATAATGTGTTATTTTATGTTTTGCTGTCACAGGCTCTCTGCAGTACTCTGCTTTTATATATCATTTCTCATTCTGTCCTCAATGAAAAATGCATGTAAGCAGTGTAAACTATGCCTGCTATCTTAAAAAATACAAATTTACCCATAAGGGAAGAAAAAAAACAATTTCTGGTTGTCGTGTTTTTTTTTTGTTTGTTTTTCTTACGAGATCTTGGTAATTTAAGAATTTGAACATGTCTGTGCCTTGAGTTAATGTTCTGCCCAAAATGCAAAACATTAAAATTGGATGTTTTCAGACATCTTACAAGAACTGTCGCTTCTCATAAGGGGACAGTTCTTCTGTCTCCAGTAAACGCTTTTAAAATGAATACTGGGGCGAGTATTGCGGCAGAAGCAAGTATAAAATGACCTTTGACGCAGATCTGTGTCCAGATCTTTGACATCATGCCATGATGCTCTGTGTGTTCACGTGCATGCTTGGGCATCTGCGGGGGCAATGCTACACATGCCCTCGTAGCGACTGTTCGCACAGCACTGTGGGGTTTAAATTAATTTACATGATATGCTCTGACTGTGCCAGGACAGTCTGTCATACAATGTAAACTGAAAATTCTAAGAACTTTCAGGAAGAAAAAAGGCAACCCATAGCTAAACTGTGTATCAAATGGTTTTTTTTTTTCTTTCTTTTTAAAATGTCTGTTTTAGTATCATCAAGCAGATTTAATGGAAACAGCTACGTTTCGACCTGTACCCAGGTCTTTCTCAAGCTTGATAAAAACTTGAACAGTTTGAATAGTTGGCATGTCCATTAAATCTGCTTGACGTTATCACAGTGAGTGCCTGAGATTTTTTTTATTTTGATATATGATTGATGGGGTATGCGGACTCATGCTCAGTTAGCACCCTGTGATTTTTATGATTAAGTGCAACCCCTTCTTTCTTTTGTTTTAGTATTAAGTCACACTTGGGTAGTTGCGCACATATCTGAATATTTACTTGGCTTTCCTTCATACATCTTTATTTGGATTCAAATTCCCAAATGTTTGAATGGCTAATTATACAGATCAAAACCACGGTTCAGCCAACCCACCGACCTCTTCCACTTGGTATGAACAAAGCCAATAGTTGTAAAGCAAGGGATGTTGCTAGGTAGCAAAAGAACAGTGGCTACAAAGTTTTTAGCCCCTTCCAGCCTTATTTTTGCTTGCTATTCAGAACTCTGCTTCTTGTTTATTTAATCATTACATTACATACTTCGTCATCACCTAGCCAGGAAAATCAGTAGAATAGGTTATCAAAAAATAGGGAATTGGTTATTTGTTTTTCAATTTTACAAATGATGCAAGCGAAATAGTACAATTGCAGATTTTTAAGGACACTAAAGGTCACTAATGAAAGATGCTTGAAGGAACACTACTCTGTTCAAATACAACAATGAAAAATCACTGTTTACTAGAAATACCCCCAAATGAAGGATGCATGCATTTAATTGTTTTTTTTTTTCATTGTGGTTATGTCTATAAACAGCTTGCAAAAGCTGCAGATCTTGTGTCTGCAGCCTTTGCAACCATCCCCTTCTAATCCAGCCCAGACTTCATGACTGTCCAATCACAGGCTTGTTAATGCAGCTCAATGAGAAGTCTTTGCAAGGCAATAAAAGTTTTCGAATGCCAAGCATCGCTTCTCACCTCTCTCATGCGAAAGCTCTCTGTCAGAGGTAAACCCGGTGGTGTGTAGCTTAGCTCCTTGGTCGAGTGTGATAAACAGGAACTTCTGTTTTTTTGGCTTATGTAGCAGAGGTCGGGGAGCAGCATGCCCGCAAGGTAAGAAATCAAGCTATTCTTCCAGGTAAAGAATCAAACAGTTTGACTACTTACATGGAGGGGGGAGGGGGGATGCTAGTGCAATCTTGGCACCGTAGCCACATTATGGAGCTTGGCGTGTTCTTTTAAATCAGACAGGGGCTCTCAGAAACCAGATCAGGGCCACAACTTTGTCTCCCCAGCAACATTACTTTTGGAGATGGGGAGGAATCCCAGTTGTTAAAGAGATATCCATCCACAGTTAGATGATATTCCACCGGTTCAACAATTTTGAGAAGAAAAGGACATGCCCTAGTATGTTGAGTGTGTTAAGGAGCCAAATGCCTGACCGTGTAAGAACAGGTAATGCTCGGGAGAATTAATTTCTTGAAGTGATTGGATAAACCTCAAATGCCAAGGTGAGTTTTTATTGTGACATTAGGAGATTAACATAATGCTTCACACAAATCTCTACCATATAAAGTGTATGTGTAATTTAAAAAAAAAATGTTTTTAATCTATTTCATTTGTTTTGTAATCCATATATGTCCTTACATTTTATTTTATACTTGTGTATATATGTGGTGGGTATTGGTGCGTTATCTTAGTGTATATTTGTGATTAGATATATAATGTGGAGGATATGTGACTCGCTCTCTATTATACTAATTAGATTGAATTATGGAACAGAAAACAGAAATACGGTGTGCATTGATATGTGTATAAAGATTTGTGGATCGCTGCCACCAGGAAATTTCATACAGTAATCTATTTTTGTTTTAAAATTGATGCAGCTTTGCCTGCTTAGCTGAAATTATCAAGTTTTATATAGAAAAGCATTGGAATGCTATTGCACATGCGCTTCAATATACTATGCTGTGCCAATCAGCATCTCCTCATAGAGATGTATTGAATCAATGCATCTCTGAGGAGTGTTCAGCATGATGCTGAATGTTACTGCTGCACATTGTACAGCACTGACCCAGGAAACATCTCTAGTGACCATTTGAGTAACTGCCACTAGAGGTGTTCCTAGGCAGTAATGCAAACACTTTTCTCTGGAAATGCACTGTTTATATTAAAATGCCTGCAGTGACGGTCAGTAGATACCAGAACTGTAGTTATTTTGGTGACTGTAATGTCACTTTAAAAGTCACTCAACACTGCAAACTTGCAGGATCCATAGCTTGCAGTGGCAAGTCATTTTTGAGGCCCGGCTAGTAGCATAGGTCTTGAAATTTTGAGAGAGATATATCTGTCCTCTATATAAAGACGTGCAATGTAAATACACAGAAAATCCCTTGGAAGTACACACAGCCAGACGTTCTAAATAAACTCTTGTGTCACATGTGTTAATTTGTCTTCTAAGAGGTGGAAGCAGTGTCCCGTGGCCTTCCCACCTCTTACTTATTTATTTAAGCGACTCATGCGTTCGACATTTGAGGCAAAGTAGCTGTGATATCAGAATGGCTGTTGCTGTAAGTATTGGCACAAGGATGTTGCTCTTGGCTGGAGAAATGAAGGAAAGCAGAATTTATGCTTCTCTCTGGATACGGAATAGCAAACAGGATTGCTATGGAGATGTGTTACTAAATAAGGTTTTGCTACTTCATTAGACATGACCTTCCAATGAAGATTTCCCCCGAGACTGGTTTGATGTATAAAATCCTTTAATTGGGTTTGACCCAGTGCTAAGGCAGACTCATACCAAAAGTATGCATGTGCAGAATAACCTTTTTAAAGCCTACCCTCATTCCTGCGTTCTTTATTTATTTGTAGAGTTAGTTACCTCCCCCGTTGAGCACTATTTTGCTTGTTTGGTTTTAGAAAATGCACGCTCTTGCAATCGTCATTGTTAACGTAAAAAAAGTGTTTTTCATACACATAATATATTTTAATTTTATTTATAAGTAGTTACTGTATATGGCTGCAGTTGTGTTCCCAATAGATCAGTAGTAGTAATGTGGAACTTTCACATTATGTGCAAGCTGAGAGTCGTACACACTAGAGCAGTCAAAACTTTGCAATTGTTATGAAATCTTAAAGGGGCACAGTGAGCACCATAACATGTTACTTGTAGAGATTGAAGAGATTCATTGGTTCGTGTCAAACCGTTTTTTATTTTTTTATTTTTTTATTAACTTGTCTCAAGCATTCTAGCATGACATAGTCATAAAAAATTGGATGGATTATTGTGAAAAGTCCACTTCCTCTTTATTGGAGCAGCGTCAGAGGGACTGGGCCAAGCATGTCCAACTTGCGGGCCACATGCGGCCCAAAATGTATATATTTGCGGCCCACCTGCCCCTGGGCCGCTTTGTACTGTGGCTGTGAACAGCTGCAAGACAGGAAAGATATTCTTGTCTTCCCTCCCACTGACCGCATGCCCCCGCATGCCAGCCCACTCTCCCTTCTCTCCTGGTCACTGTGTCAGAGGAGCGTTTGTCCTGCTTGAGCTGAGAAGAGCACGGCTGGACCTGGAGGATGGGCAGCTCATCTTAAAGTAGGGGGGACCTTCCTGTGTAGTGTGTTAAATTGGGGGCCAGTGTATTACATTGGGGGAGGGAGTGGGGCAGTGTATTAGAGTGGTGGGAGGAAGGAGGGCAGTGTGCTAAACTGGGGGGAGTGCAGTGTATTAATTTGGGGGGGGATGAATGGGGCAGTGTATTAATTTAATTAGAGTGGTGGGAGGGGGGTAGTGTGTTAAACTGGGGAAGGGAAGGCAGTGTATTAAATCAGTGGAGGGAGGAGTGGGCAGTGTATTGGATTTGAGGGCAATGTATTAGAATGGGGGGCAGTGTATTCGATTTGGGGCCAATGCATTGGATTTGTGGGACAGTGTGTTAGAATATAGGGGAGGGGGCAGTGTATTAGATTGGGTCTGCATGGGGTGCTGAATGCTCCCCGTGGAGATGCTGATTGGCCCGGCAGCTTTTTGCCACACATGCACAATAGCCAGCTTTTTTTTTTTATTCTGTACTTTTCAAAATAAACCTATGTTTCTATGAAAGCTGAAGTTTTTGTTTTTTTGCGGCCTACGTAAACTTAAACAGCCTTTTTTTTTAGCCATTGTTAGCCTTTGAGTTTGACATGCTTGGGCTAGGTGAAGGCACCAGGGGAGCCCATTTTTTTTGCCTAAATGCTCAAAAGATTTGGTACAAACTAGAGGTTGGAGCCAACTGACTTTCACCATAACCACTTTAGTGAGTAGTGGTTATGGTGCTTACAGCGCTCTTTTAATTAGCAGGAAGCATAATCATTAAAACAATAACGATCTATGAATACAACTTAAAATAGGCTTGCATATTAAATAACATTTGTGGAGCCTCTTTTGATCAATATTGATGCAGCTCATTCCTCTTAGGTACTTTAGAAAATTAAAATGTGACAATTTCATATACGTATTTTAATATGTATGACGTGTACATGGCCTTTTTAGGGCCATACATGATAGGAAGTCCCTCTGGTGGCTGTCTGAGTGACGACCACTGGAGATATTCCTATCAATCAATGTAAACACTGTATTTTCTTGTAAAATACAGTGTTTACATTAGATTGCCTGCAGGGAGCTATAGATCTCACCCGAACTACATTAAGCTGTAGTTGTTCAGGTGACTATAGTGTCCCTTTAACTTATAGGTACACAGCCTCCCAGATGGTAACCGGTTTTGCCGAAAAATATACACACACAATATTTAGGGATCTTGCTGGTGAACCTATAAACACAAATATAACATAGTGTGACACTGTTAAATTAGTTACAAATGCAAATAATTTGATTGCACACACAGAATTACGATGGTAAAAAGCGCCCTATGGCTGCCACCCACAATATCAACAGGGGACTTGAAGTTCCTCCTTTGGATTCTTTCTCTGGACTGGTCTTTTCAATCACCAAAGAATAATTTACCAGAGGTTTTCCAAAACAAGGACATTTATTGTATAAAATAAAAATATATTGCACAAGTTATATTAAAAAGCACAGGTGTGCTGTTTGTTATATTGTGATTTATCTGCTGACCTGAAGACTGACATTATAAATTAGTAGGTGTTCCACTCCGTACTATCCCAACTATTTTTGCAACAAATGTTTTCATTTGCGATTACTCTAGTCCTTTTCCCCAGAGACATTTGTTTTTATCAAATTGCTCACATGTGAAACAGAGATCCAGTAATTAAATTGCTTGTGATGTGCAGCAAGATAAAGATCTGTTTGCTTTATTGAGCAGACTGACACAAGATCAGAATAAATAAACCAATTATCAACGTATATTCGTTCCGTTAACAAACCAAACATCTACACCTTTGCAGTGGTGTATACTTTGGGGGATACACAAACAAAGTGTTTACAATGCATAAAACAAAGGTGAGGTATAGAGTGTTATTCATACAACCAATATATTTTAAATTACCTCTAAAGAGTGCTTGTCTGTCATTAAGTGCATACACACTAAATACTCTTGTGTAATCAATGTAGTACACAGTTTGGTAGATAATCACGAACATAGAGCTGCCTCTTATAAAATGGGTTGTTCCTTTTATCGCCATAGAAAAAAGGGAAGAAATAACATAGTATGATAACGTTTATCACAGATAAAATGCAACCCAAGGCATAAAAAGGCTTAAACTAGAATTTGTGGGACACTGTGAGAAGCTGTTAGCCTTCTATGGACTATGCAGGAACATTGCATCTCCCCGCATTTGGCCTATTGCCCTAGATGGTTTGGGTAGAACTGTCTCTAAAGACTTCACGTATTGAGTGGGGCATGTCCACTGGCGCGTTTCGCCCCTCCTGGGGTTTTGTCAAACATGGATAATACAGATCCGGTCTTGGTTGTATTAACAACACTTTACACCTTACCTTTATGTTTGTTTTATGTAATGTGAACACACGATTAGAATATTATACTCCGAATAGAAAGTACACAACAGTGCGGCACATTGCCTATTTGATATGGGTCATAGCAATGCTGAGTATTCTAACTGTGTACTAACGTTTCATTTGAATGTTGGCAAGAAGCAAGAAACTAGTGGTGGCATATGGTTTATACATCTGTGGCGTTGTGTAGCACAGTACATCTCAAGAAAAGAGGCATACGTTTATCATATTTAAAGGGATACACCAGCATTAAATCCCCATAAATCTTTCTCTGACTTCTGTCTGTTTCTCATTTGCAGTAATTAACATTTAGTTTAATTGCTTTTTAGGTACTTTTTTATTTTATTTTATTTTTTTACTTATTGACTTTTTGATGTGGTTAAGCTAGCCTAGCAAAGCCTGGTCGTACACAAGCGGACATCTAGTCCTAATAGGTTAACTGTGACTCATCCATTCTATGAATTGTGTAACACTTATATTTAGATCAATGAACATTGTCAGCTGATATTGTATCTGCTAACACGATTGCAGTGTAGGTGGGATGCGAAGCCATGGTGTGTTTAACACTGTAACAATGGCATAGTTAAAGTATTAAAAAACAATAGACAACTTTCGAGTGTATCAGTGTGGAAAATATCCAGTCAATGCAATTTTTATTCTCAGTAATGCAATAAAAATTTGCATTGTGGATGATCCTTGAATATTGATGTTTTTGAGCCAGTATACCATAAAATAAGTTTATACATTTTGTAAAGTACTGTTGGGTGGAAAAATAACTGCATTTTTTTTGTGGATCGTTATATATACACACTATACCTAGATCCCCAAATTACAAATTAGTTTCTTTTCTTTTCTTTTTTTTTTTTTAATTTGTTGCTGAAAATGAGTCACATGAGCTCTGAAACTACTGCAGTTTTATAGCTTCATTTACTCTTAAGAGATTGCAATTCACATTTGCTAAGTTGTTTCCTAACCTTCCATCTGTCATTTTGCTTTCAGTGGACTCATTTGTATAAAAATGGCGTGATTTGCTTTGTGAGCCAATTATTTTGTAGGCCCTTACACATATTTTCTTAGCAAGATGCTAATCTGATTTTCCTACCAAATAATATACCTGCTTGGGATATTGGGATGCAAAACTGCTTGCTGCTTGTTGTCGTTTTTGGTTGTTTTATGGTTTGTTACATCACTTATCCTATATTTTTAAAATGTTATATTATTTTACTAGATCTCTAATATATAGTCCATCCGCATTGGATATCTCCAAGCCGTGCTGTTGCTCTAAATAGCCCACATTTTCCTATGTTTGAAGCCCTCAAGTGCTGGAATGTATATTCTATATTTAGAGATACTCTAAGGACCATAAACACTACAAAGGACTGTAATGGTTGTGATGCCAGGCGTCCCTTGATGCCCAGCAGTCTATGAACGGTTTAACATTCACTTTTTTTTTTTTTTATGTCTTCCGGTTTGCACTCATATACTAAAGCAGATTGCAGTGTAAATTTTATGCCAATGTGATCACTATTCATTGGTGGAAGGTTGCTATGTTAATGGAGCAGTAAGAACTGACGTATAGAATATACATGGATATTCAAAGGACTGCGGGAGCCTAACATAGCCAGATAAGGGTATCACTGACAAGATCAGTTTGTAATTGTTTATCATAAGATGGAGTCTAGGTATTCTTGACCTTGTAACCACTACAAAGCTCTGTAGTGGTTGTGTTTGAAGTATGCCATTAAGTAGATGGCATCCTGATTATTATTTTTTTTGTGTGTGTGTGTGTTGCATAAGCATCAGATGCACATTGTTGGACTTGCATGCCCAGGGTTTAGGAGTTGTGAAAGTCTCGCAGGAATCATAATGCATGAATGACCGCCATTAATTTCAGGGACACACGCGCCCGTAACGTGTTTAGAAAGAAAATAATTTACGATTTATACTAGTTTTTATGGTTTTGCAATTATAAGAAATGCAATAATATTTATACAGTGATCAGTAATGAAATATTTCCCTAAGAGAAACGGGACGCAACAATACTTTCGAAATCCCTATAAATCTGATCACAATGAAACGAGGAAATGAAAAGGACATACTTATTCAAAAAAATATACTTTATCAAGTCCAACCAGATGTTGAGTTCATCTGCTGAGAATTAAGGATTGCAGGACTATCTCTGTTCAGTGATGCCTTTTAACTTCATATTATGTTGTTCTGTGGGCATACACGTTTTTATATTTTGCAAAGATAAGAAAAGCAATAGTATTTATGTAATGAACAGGTGTGGCATTTTTATTTATGGGAAACAAACTGTGTCATAATGATAATTTGGAAATTCTTACAACAGTAAAACAAGAAAAATAAAAAGTGGTGGTTATATTAAGACACTGCGCGGAGTCCCTGACTCCAGCATTGGGGTTATCAAGCAGTGTCCTTTGAACCCATGTCTCCAGTCTCTGTGTGACTCTTTCCTGTAGGGTTAGGTTCTTTCCCAATATCCCATCTCTCCCCTAATCCTCAATAATGTAGATTATATTTCTACCATTTCAGCTTCAAGAATGATGGGAAATGTTGTTGTCCCTCAGCAGTGCAGTGCAGGATTTAGGGCTGTGTGAGCCTGGGGCTTAAAATATGGTGAATCTAACAAGAGAATTTGAAATTCCATTCTCATTGTAATAATACTTCTGGGCTGCATGTGGGGTAGTGACGTCTCGTATAGGGCTGTGACTCTGCACACTACATTGAGCCCTCTCTCCATGCACTGCATAGGAAGAGCACTGCGAAGCAGTTGATAAATAATCCAAAAAAAAGGACAGTAGGCTATAGAATGAGTGGAGCACCACATTAGTGTCAGGATCCTATTTCATAACAAATGAAAGGGGAAAAATTTCTAATTTATATTGTGGCCTATTTCAAAGTATGAGCCTCAAGTCACTGTTACTCTGGCTCTGGTTTGCGGCCTGATGTTGGAGACCCCCCAAGTCAGTAATGGAAAGAATAAAAGGTTTCATTAAAGGTTTGCTCCAACCAGTGATTTGAAGTGGTCATGGTGGTAAGAGACTGTATTGTATTGTGCAGTGTTTGTTTGAAACCGTGCACATCCAGAGTTATTTTTAATCGTGTGCCTGTGGCTAGTTGCACCCCCAGCACACGTGACTTAGGCAGGTTAGAACTTTGTTCCGTACTGCCAAATGTATTGTATGCCGTATGTTAATTCTGTGCATATTTTACGTCTGTTGCAAGAATTATGTGAGGTTTGCATGGTAAGTCAGTAGCCATAGTTTCTCTAACAGTCCCTTCGCTATAACTCCTGATGAAACTCTTAACTTTTGTTCACTAGTGTCTAAGTGAAATTTATCAGGAAAAAAAAAGAAAACTTTCTCTGTCCTTTTAAAAAAATCTTCTCCGCTGTCATATTTTATTTTTAAAAATTTGTTTGTTTTTTTCCGTTTTTTTTTGCCATTACTTTTTTAATCCTGATTTTAGTAAAATGAAAGTAAACAAGTGATATGTTGCTTCTGCCAACTTTTGTACTTTCATACCTTCCTGCTTAGGGAAATTACCCACTTGTGAAGAACTATGAGACGTCTTCACTCATTCCCAAGTTTACATATCATTAATATTGACTTATGTTTTTGTTTCTTACCTCAGGCCCTGCTGAACACGCAAAGCAAGCTTAGAACACTAGTTCCGAATTTCACTTTCAACCTTGGCTTTTCTGGGAAGTTCTATCACACAGGTAAAGTGATAATTACTTCTATGTTTAACCTTTTCCATGCTGATTGAACCAGGATACTGTTTTATATTTTCATCTATTTGTCTCTACTCCGTCTTCACAGAGGTAAATGTCTCTTATGAAACTTGCAACCGTGGGGAAATTACCAATACCCCAGCCACAAAAGTACATCTGAAACTGCAATTAGCAGTAATACAGGATTCGATTGTGAATACACATAAGCAATTTAAAAGGACACTATAGTCACCAGAACTACAGCTTAATGTAGTTGTTCTGGTGAGTATAATAGCTCCCTTCAGGCATTTTCAGAGAAAAGACAGTGTTTTATCCAAGTGTCCCAAGTGTTTTATCCAACCCAATGCTTTCCCGCTAAAAATCGTCGATGTCACAAAGGGACAGAGCCGGGGGACCCACGCAGCACTGGAAGTAAGGCGAACTTTATCCTTTTATAGGGGGGGAAAGCCACCTAAAGGGTGGGTTTAGCACTATAGGGTTAGGAATACATATTTGTGTTCCTGACCCTATAGTGATCATTTAAAGGACCACTATAGTGCCAGGAAAACATACTCGTTTTACTGGCACTATAGCGCCCTGAGGGTGCCCCCACCCTCAGGGTCCCCCTCCCGCCGGGCTGGATGGAGAGGAGGGGGTTAAACTTACCTCTTTCTCCATCGCCGGGCGGGGAGCTCTCCTCCTCCTCTCCCCCTCTTCGGTTGCATGCGCGGCAGGAGCCGCGTGCGCATTCAGCCAGTCCATAGGAAAGCATTCACAATGATTTCCTATGGATGCTGCCGTCTTCTCACTGTGAAAATCACAGTGAGAAGCGCGGAAGCCCTCTAGCGGCTGTCAATGAGACAGCCACTAGAGGCTGGATTAACCCATTTATAAACATAGTTTCTCTGAAACTGCTATGTTTATAGAAAAAAGGGTTAATCCTAGCTGGACCTGGCACCCTGACCACCTCATTAAGCTGAAATGGTCTGGGTGCCTATAGTGGTCCTTTAATGAGTATTTCACACACAACACTTCCCTTTCTTTAAATTGACTAATACCTGTATTGTATGAATGAAAACCGTTTTTGCTGGGAAACTGCCTGAAATTTATATTGTAAAAAAGGCAAAGTCATAAAATGAAATAAGTCAAGCAGTGACTTGGCTAATTGGCTCATGTTAAAGGTTTTTTTTTTTCTTCTAATCTAAAATGTCTCCATGGGCCAGAACTCCTCATAACAAGCCAGGTCCCCTAATCATGTACACCTAAGCCTTTGGTTCTGATCCACCACTTCCCCCAGAATGCAGTTAACCTACTGGTTTGTTTTTTGTTTAGTTTTTTTTTGTTTTTTGAGCTAGAATGTTAACTTTATCTGTAAGTGTGAGCTCTTTTTCTACATAGGCTTGATATAAATGCTAATATCTATCTATTCATGGTGTTAATATGGTGGACATTGTGCATTGGAACTAGAAATGGATCCTTGGAACACCACCTAGTCTGCATGTGTGGACACTCATCCCCATCCAATGTACTGCCACAGCTATCTGTTACATTTTGATTGTACTAGTTTGGTTTCATACACAATATTGTTTGCTTGTTAATTTAAAAAAAATGAACTAATCTAATTGACAGTGTTTGTGTTTTTTTTAAGGTTTTTATTAATGTACTCTGTATTTGATTTAAATAACATTGTTTGAATTCGTCAACAGTTGGTTTTGATTTCTGTGTATTCTAGTAGCTGGTTTATTTTTTAATTCTATGTTTTTAACTTTCTCTTGACAAGCTTGTTTAACACACGTAGCAATAATGGAGTTCTTCACCTAGGTTAATATATTTTGGAAAATGCAGGCATAATTAACACAGCTTGTAGAATAATATGTATGCCATTTATTTTATAAGGGTCACACTTGGACTTTCAATGTTGACAGTCCGGTTTGAGATTAGTCAGTGACAAAATTAGAAACCTTTTATTTTCCTTTTTTTCTTTTTATTGTAAGAAAGCTTGAGTGAGGAATCCCCCCTGGCCCCCCCCCCCCATACCTTCTACCTCCCAATTGGTTATTATAATAGTAGTAGTGTGTATGTTGTACACATCTATACATTAGTTTGGAATATGCTTGCTCGCTTGCTCTATACTATTAAATTAACAACAAAGAGCTCTGACTTCTGTACTTCTACATTCTGCAGATCAATGTGACGTTACAGAGCAGTGACTGTACCTGGGTTAGTTGGTTTTGAAAGATTTAAAAGTCCAGTCCGCACAAATTCCTTTTGATAGAGGGGAAATAAAATGTTAATGTGCAGCGATAGCTGTCCGTGATCCGGTATTCTACACAGCTCCATTGCTGATTGCAGCTGCTTTGTCCCCAGGTACGGACGAGGAGGATGAAGGGGATGATATGCTGCTACAACACAGAAAGGAGTTCTGGTGGTTCCCCCATATGTGGAGTCACATGCAGCCTCATTTATTCCATAATGTCACGGTCCTTGCAGAGCAGATGAAACTCAACAAGCAGTTTGCACTGGTAAGGTTTGTAGCATGTCTTCTATGCCTGGGCTAGGCAACCTTCGGCACTCCAGATGTTGTGGACTGCATCTCCCATGATTCTCTTACAGCCATAATGCTGTAAAAGCACAAGGAGAAATGTAATCTGTAACATCTGGGGAACGTAGGAGTCAAACTAATATTGTTTTAGAAACCTATTAAAAAGAACACATCTAGATTTCTAGTATAAATATTCCAGAAGGGTTAGACTTCTCTACAGTGTTTATAAGAACCTTTGAACCAGAGGGATGTTTACATGTGCTGTATGTATTACACACGCATCACTGCTTTAAGGATAGAAGGATTAGTAGCTTTTTAGTGCTGTCCGTGTAGTAAAGTAGGCAGGATTGACATCCCAAACCAGAGTCTCTCCTTCCTGGTCATACGTAGTAGGTATGCAGAAGAAGGGAAGCAGTGCCTTGAAAAAGTCCTTAAATAAGTCCTTAAATCTAGGTCAGTATACAACGAGAAGAGAGGACAAGGAGCAGGATATAGTGTAGTAAGTAGATTATTGATTGGAGAAAACAAAAAGAAATTGTACTTGGTGTATCGAGCTGGTAATTGGCCCACCTATGGATATAAACTTGGTATCTTGGTCCAATGGCAGTGGTCCATTAAAACCTAGATTTGAGGACTTTTTCAAGGCGATGCTCCCCTCCTTCTGCATGCTTACTGCTTTAAGTATACCTGTGTTATTAAACAACGTATCTATGATTAAAGGGACACTATAGTCACCAAAACAACTTTAGCCTAATGAAGCAGTTTGGGTGCATAGATTATGCCTTTGAAGTCGCATTGCTGAATTCTCTGCCATTCAGGAGTTAAATCACTTTTGTTTCAGTTTTTGCAGTCCTAGCCACACCTCTCCTGGATGTGAGTGACACATCCTGCATGAAAAAAATGTTTCACTTTAATTAGAGAGAACTTAAAAAGGTTTTTTTTGGGGGGGGGAGAGGGTTAAATCTCCTGCTCTGTAAATTGAACTTTTATTGCATACAGGAGGCTCCTGCAGTGTCTAGCACGCTATTAATAGAGTAAGAGATAAGCAATTTTAGTTTAAACCATATTTGCAATAACGTGTAAACATTAGATGACTCTTTACAGGAAGTTTTTAGGAAGGCTGTGCAAGTCACACGCAGGGAGGAGTGACTAGGGCTGTATAAATAAAGTGATTTAACTTCTAAATTAAAGAAAATTGAGCAGTGAGACTACAGGGGCATGATTTATACACCAAAACTGCTTTATTAAGCTATGGTTGTTTTGGTGACTACAGTATCCTTTTAATGGGACTCACCAGGGTGTAATTATTTGTACCTGGATTCTAGCTACATCTCTGTTTCTCTGTTTCCTTCGGCCAAGAACAGACTGTGAGATCTCAGGAATTCTCCTGTTCATCTGAAAGGGAGGCAAGGACTGTCTTAAGTATAAATGTCAATAAGAACAGATTGCACAATTTAAACTGAAACTGCTGGCAGTTTTTTTTCATTGAATTTGATAGTGTCTCCCTCTTATTCTCATATATTTATTGACCGCAAGCGTCATGTGTGAGTAGTAACTTTTGCCTTCAGTAGTAGAATGATACAAATGCATATAAAGAAGCATTGAGCTGTATACTTTTCGCTAGATGGCCGACTGATTTCTATTACTAGTGAAAAAAGAGACTTGCCAAGCTCTTAATTATTAATGATTTTATCTGTTTATGGAGAAAAAAAGTACCTTCACGTGATGCCCTACAACACACGTTTATGTTTATAATTCTGCTACCTCGACCAGCAAATATTTAGTGTCCATTTTGAAACCTGTTGAAATCAGTGGGAGACGTAATTAGTTTCACTAAATATGCTCAAAATATTTTGAAACCCTAAATGCAAGGATATAAACTGGGTCAGTTTTAAAGATCCCAAAACATAATACTAGAGAAAATGAACAGTTGTGCCCTGTCCTCTCTGTGATTTCCAGTCTTAATTAGGAATGCAAAGCGCATTTCTGCTGAAGCACAAAGAACCGAAGAAAAGGCGTGCGAAAATTCAAAGCATCACCGCAACCCCTACCTACTAATAACTTCAAACCAAGTCTTAAGGGTGCTTTCCACTTACAGAAGCAATCTGATTTAAGTGAGGATTATGGATTTCATCCATCAAGCAGTTTAAGGAAATTAAAAGTGTGTTCATTAGTAAAATCACTCTGATTCCTAGGTTGTTATGGCAACACTACAGTGTATCTGGCAACTTTTGCTGGATCCTAAGAGAGAGGCATTCCAACTAGATACAGAGTTCATAGAACAGGGGGTCGAATATTATAGATCCTACCCAGGGGTAGGCAACCTTCGGAACTCCAGATGTTATGGACTACATTTCCCCTGATGCCTGACCAGCCCTACTGTTGTAAGAGCATTATGGGGGATGTAGTCCACAACACCTGGAGTTCCAAAGTTTGTCTACCCCAGGAATAGATGTATATAAACTGATTGACACTAATTCATCAATCACGCTCCCAGTGTCTCATGTCTGCATCAAACACCATAAATTGTATAATGGTACCTCAATTTTTTTTTTTCCAGTGATTTTTGGGCAATTTTTGCTACATATGGATATTTATTTTATTTTTAATTACATTTACTGTGTGAAACGTGCTCTCAACTTGTATGACTTTGACAAGCTTGTATATACAAAAATAACTGTTTAAATTGTAATGTTCAAAGTATGCATTTCAGAGAAGATCTCCTATTATATACAGGTTGCAAAAAATAGTGGAAAAAACACAGCCTCTAAATGTATATTGTTTTATTAAAAATAAACTACTTTTAACTATTAATCTGCTAGATTGCCCATACTAGTGTGTTAAAAATCTGTTAAACCTATGACACTTTACAGACAAGTGGTTTTGATCTTTTAATATATAGACAGATCTACTACCACTGTTGAACTGTGACTATACAAGTGTAAAGTACGGCAGCCATCTGTTATTAGTCAACGGGAAACCCGACAAAACAGACGTACACTTGGACATATTTCAAAGCTGTCCCTTTTTTCCTTCAGAAAAACCCTGTCCTTGCAGTCAGCTGCAGTGCTAGTCTGCTTGTCTATGATTAAATTGCGTGTTTGGGGACTGTATGGACATAATGTGGTTTATTAGGGAGTACGTTTAGAATGGAATTCTAATGTAGGCAGCCCCTTAATGGCTTTTTCTAGGCACCTGGTAGCACAATTACAAATAGCTAGGAAGAAATAGATAAAATAGAAAGACCATCCAAATGCAGTTTCTATGGGGGGGAGAGTGAGGCGTAAAGACAGTAATACACCAGTAATATCACAGTGCCTCTTTGGGTATTATTCCACCAGAAGACCTGGGTCCACATCAACAGCCTCAAATGACTAATCCAACACATGGGCCATCAGTTGGGAGCCTCTGATCTTGACAAAAATATGCATATTTAGAAGATTTATGCTAAAATAATCGCCCCTCCTCCATACATCTACCTTCTGTCTTGCTTTTCTTCCTCTTTCACACAAAACGCTTTATAAAAATGCTTTATAAATACAGTTAATAGTATTTTTAAAGGCATTGTTGTCTGATACACTGCCTTGGTGCAGATGAGTTGCAGAGAGTAACCTCTGCTCATTTTTATTTATTAATTATTTTATTTTTTATTTATTTTTTAATACATTTTCCTCTGATCACTTATATTAGAAGCTAGAAGAGATATTGCAACTCATTGTTAAGTACTACCATTAATTTAATATTACCCACATATAGACAGCAATAAGCTGCACTGTTGTGCTTTTGGTACTAGGGAGTTTCTTACTCAAACACAGTGAGGTAGGTAGGTGTGTGTGTGTCGTGTGAATTTTTGTTTGTGGAAAAACAAAATGATTGCAGTGTTAATCCTTGCTCTTGGTAAGCTTGAACAATCCATCCTCTATCAATCTAAGCCTTTTATTTGTGTACGATACACAGACTGTAAAGGAGGCTGGAAGGGCAGAATTAATAGGGCCCTTAGAAAGTTTATTAGGATCTAAATTGTCTGTGCTAGTAAGCAATATTTTCTGGGCTCTACATGTTTGTTGACAAGCCTTTAAAATTGCTGCAATATTTTAAATTGTTTTTGTAATAATAACTTTGATTAGATGTACAAGTTAAACACAGGCCACTTAATTTTTCCTGTTAATTTTTATTTTTTTTATTTTTTTATGCATCAACTACCCCTGTGACAAATGACTTGCTATGGCTGTCATTAAATAAATTGATTAGCCGGATCCCTTGTTGTGAAAGGGCTAAAGTATAGTAAACGGGTATAATTTCCGTTTATTCAATGAGCCAGGATTTGTGTGGAGTTGACGTGGGAATTGTGCATTTTAGACCAAAGTAATCAAGCTAGAAAAATAGCTTGAATTGGAGAATTGCTTGCTAATTTGGCCTAAAATGTGCACTTAGTTCTGTACAGTCCCTGTTTTATTGATTAACCATATAGTCATGGAAAATAAAGGGCTCTAGAATACCTGAAAGTGCAGTGATACATTACGACATAGTCATGTGCATGTTACACTTGGAATTTTCTAAGCCCATTTCTCCACTGAAGTACATTTTCAATAAATCCCTCGTTTAAAAATGATGTGCTTTTGTAACTGCGTAGTTTTAGGAGGTATGTAACGGATTGCTGTAAGTCCACTTTCTTTTGCAGGAACACGGCATCCCTATAGATTTAGGGTACGCAGTGGCGCCCCATCATTCTGGCGTATACCCAATTCACAGTCAACTCTATGAAGCCTGGAAATCTGTGTGGAGCATACATGTTACCAGCACTGAAGAGTACCCACACCTACGGCCTGCTCGGTACCGAAGGGGTTTCATACACAATCGCATCATGGTACGGTATACCGGTAACTTTTTTAATTTGAGTGGTCTTAAATTATATTTCTAGATATACTTATTTTTTTTTATTTTTTTTTAAATGCCAACATATCAAAAACGAATAAATAAATATATATATATATATTTTATATTATCTCTTAATATGTGAAAATATTTCTGAAAATATTAACTCACAGGAATGAAACCAAATCTTGTTTCATCCCTTTGTTCAAAATGGAACTCTGTTAACACTAAAATAGTGTCCTGTTTGGATAAGACATAGAGATTACTATAAACAGATTTGTTCCTTTCTCCCCTACCCTTCTTGAAGTGTTTATTTTAAATATTTGTAAATGCTGCTTATGTGACCGTGACCTGTCAATTTTATGGTAATGTAAAATAACATTATAGTCCATAGTTTTGTAAGGAACATATAAGTATACTTGGCCAATGTGGCGAGTTAGTTTCCAGATCACCTCTTCACTGAAATGCAAATTATTAGTAGGATAGGCTACTGGATGTTAAATCTTTAGAGTGTCTTCTCACTTGCTCCTTGTTGGAAGCCATCCTCAAGTTCCTTGGAACAGAAGCTTTGCTTTTCTGCCAACATTATACTTACTTTGAAGGCGTGAAACTGTCCCAGTATGCATTCTTCAGAGGCCCATCATGTATATGACCTAATATGTGAATTTGTGCTTCAGAAAAAGAAATTTTACCCCAAGCACATACCTCCCAACTTTTCCAATAGACAAAGAGGGACACTTTAAAGGAACACTATAGTCACCTAAATTACTTTTGCTAAATAAAGCAGTTTTAGTGTATAGATCATTTGCCTGAAATTTCACTGCTCAATTCACTGTCATTTAGGAGTTAAATCACTTTGTTTCTGTTTATGCAGCCCTAGCCACACCTCCCCTGGCTATGATTGACAGAGCCTGCATGAAAAAAAAAACTGGTTTCACTTTCAAACAGATGTAATATACCTTAAATAATTGTATCTCAATCTCTTTAATCACATACAGGAGGCTCTTGCAGGGTCTAGCAAGCTATTAACATAGCAGGGGATAAGAAAATCTTAATTAAACAGAACTTGCAATAAAGAAAGCCTAAATAGGGCTCTATTTACAGGAAGTGTTTATGGAAGGCTGTGCAAGTCACATGCAGGGAGGTGTGACTATGGTTCATAAACAAAGGGATTTAACTCCTAAATGGCAGAGGATTGAGCAGTGAGGTTGCAGTGGCATGTTCTATACACCAAAACTGCTTCTTTAAGCTAAAGTTGTTCAAGTGACTATAGTGTCCCTTTAATTTTAATGGTATAAGTGGGAGGGTGGCCAAAGGTGACCTGTTCTGACAAATATTGTACTAAAATGTAATTTTCAATAATGAACAGTGCATCTTATTTACATAGACTGAATTCTAATCACATTTATTGTAGTATTATTGCTGTGGAGCTCTGTTATACACTAAGACACCCCAAGAACATAGAGCTCCTAGAAAAGAGATGTTAAGACAAAATAGAGGGTCACGTGGATTTGGGCCAAAATAGGCACTGTCCTTATAACTATGGACATTTTGGGAGGAATGCAAGTACCATGACGACTTCAGTGATTTCAAGTGGCCATGGTAACCAGTGTCTATATGTGTATGTGTTCACAATGAAAAGATGCACATACAGAGTTAATGGTTGTGAAGCTTTGATTAACCCTTTAAAGATAGTGGCCACTATAGAGTAGGATGGAGTAAAGGAATGCATAGAAAATCATTGTTTACTTATATGTATGTGTTACAAAAAATACACTAAGGATATAATACCATATGAAATTTTTTTGTTTGTTTGTTTCATGCTTAAAAAGAAAAATAAGATTAGAGCTTAATCCGGTAGCATATTTTCACATGTCAAGGAGTTCACGCTTGCCAATATTCAGATTTGTGTTTTTTTTGTGGATGACTAAGCTTTCAAGAAGAATGAAAACTGCTGTAAACGTGACCCATAAATTCCAGAAATAACAATTCTCTTTTGAGAATAGAAATCAAAATATATATCTAGAGATCTTTTATAAAAGTGAGAAAGCTATCCAATAAATTATAGGCTTATATTTTTGTAGAAGAGCAAAATGTTTTAAAAGAATATTGGATGTGTATATTTAGCCACAGAATTGCAAGATGCCATTTTGACTTTCTCCTTCCATATAAAGGTTTTACCACGGCAGACCTGTGGGCTCTTTACTCACACCATATTCTACAATGAGTACCCTGGGGGCTCCAAAGAACTTGATAAGTCCATTCGCGGTGGTGAGCTTTTCCTGACTATCCTCCTTAACCCGGTGAGAATATAAACCATTTATATTATCTGTTTGGGTGAGAATATAAAACATTTATATTATCTGTTTAATGCCATGTCCTTGTAATACACTTAAATGAGTGGGTAAAAATCAAAACCGGGGTATCATTTAACTGTATTTGAAACCTGTACCTCTTTGATCCTCCAAAGATGATTTTCACATGTTAAAATAAATCCAACAAATTTATTTGCATTCACGAATTCTGATTTCACTAATTTCCCTTCATAAAATATAGTATTTCTCATAGACAAAGAACATTGAAACTCAGACCAGGCCTTAAAGGGAAGCTGACCCTTTAATAGATGTAGCTCCTATGAAAACATGCATGCATTTTAAGTGTGTATTTTTTCATTGTGGGTATATGTATATATTTGTAAAATCCCTGACCTTCTAGCCAGACTTCTTGATTCCGCTCAATGAGAAGTCTTTGTAAGAAAGGTGCTCTGGGCAATTTCTTGCCTTTTGAGCTTAGCTCCACTGAGGTAACCAACTAGGAAGTAATAGGACTGGTTGCCTGATTCACAGCCAGGGTACTGTAACCAGGTTCATTTGTAAAAATAAGTAACATCTACTGATATCTGAATTTTTTGTAAAATGAAAAGGACACACTTTCCATATATATAGGAATAAAGCAAGCTAAAGTGATGTAGGGTTCTGGAGTGTCCCTTTTAATGTACAGTATTCTTATTTGAACAGAATTGGACAACCTCTGTCTTTTTGTTTACTAGTCCTTTAAGGGCTCATTTGAGAATCAATGAAATATAAGGTGCAATGTACAGTACAGACAGAACACCTGTTAATGTAAAGATAGATGCTTGGAATTTTATGCAGAGACTATCAAAGCCCCCAACATTGTGCAACTAGTGAGGTTTCTAAAAGTGAACATTCCATAGGTTCAGTAAAAATGAAAATGAACAATTTTGTTGTATTAAAAACACCTAATCTAGGCAAAAAAATAATGGGGGTTTAGTTACATTATATGATCATACATTGCATAAGCCTGCCACAACGCCAATGTACCCCATCTTTGGCAGGTCCTACTCTGTCTGCTAAATGAGCTACTCACTTGGGGAAATCCTTCCATCTCGAGTTCTTTGCAGTACAAGGCTTAAATAGGATCCTGAGATGAGGCACCTGTAACAGGGAGGGGTGCAAAACCAAGGAGCTGGCTAGACTCCTAAATATATACATATAGGAGAAAACAAGGGTTTGGCTGCACTCACCTAAACATACTTAAATGGCGTGCTGCTGGGGGCCAATCAGTACAGTAAAAATGAAAATCCAGCGCACTCACTTATCTACTAAACAGTTATTTTAGTGCAGAACATTCTATAGTTTTTCCCTGTAATTGCCCCACTTTTCATTAAAGGACCACTAAAATCTCAACTAAGTGACCTTGGTGCAGTGGTCCTCTCCTGTTAACCCTCCAATCTAAAACATTGCCGTTTTGTAGAAAATGGAATGTTTACGATGCAGGGTTAAATCCACCTCTAGTGTCTGTCTTCCTTACAGCCTCTAGAAACATTGATGTGCATCAGGTACCTAATGCTCCTGTATGTTTTACAATTATTTATACGGCTCAAAACCTTTGGTAATACAGGTTTGCATTCCAAATGCTTTATTGTTCCTTTACGTGACACTTTTCTAAATCTCCAGCTTTGGATCTGCCTACACAGATCCAGTTGTTTTAGTGAAACCGTTCAGGGGATGAGCTCCTAAAACAATTTATAGTTTCTTGACCAGATTATTCCCCAAATTCCAAATTGTGGTGAATTGAAATCTGAATGGCAAAATAGCTAAACTTTGACTAGAGGCAAGTTGGAGAGGTGGTCCACATCAGCTAACATTTTTATTTTTAATTGCTACAGTTTGGACTTCAAGGAATAACATTGCTTGTGTCGATCCTCCCTGTAATTATATTGATAAACTAATAGGCATGCCAAATAATACCAAATAAAAATCAACTGCATTGCAAAATGCACAGAACCAGTTATGGATGCTGATCTCCATATACTGTCCCCCAGTACATAGGGAAAAAAATGATTCTGAGAAGAAGAAAAAAAAAAATAGAACAAATCCATTCAAAGCAAGGGCACGTTAAAAGCACTGGAAAAGTGTTATATATATTTTTTTTTGTAAAATAGAAACGGGTAACTGTCAGACTATGCAGATAGCCATAGCTGAAACCGGCAATGTGAGACTTCATAAAATGGTATGCTTCATCGAACTGGCTGATAAGCTGTCCCCCTGTTCATCAACTACCTTATCAAGAGAGACATTCAGTGATTGCCATCTGCTGTGGGTACACGTGAAATGTGTGTTTGCTTTTAAGGAACAGCCTCCAACATTGTAAATAATTCATCGAGGCAACAAGAAATGTTCAATCTTGTGTGTGTGTGTGTGTGTGTTGGCATATATAGGTTAGAATGCACAAACCCCTGCATCCCCATGAAACTGCTCTAAATAAGGTTTATTTTGGGGGTATTATGGGGTGGAGGGGGGGTTTGTTGGTTTTTCTGTCTTTCTATCACTCTGCAATAATGGAATATCCTTAACAGTTGATCATTAGAATTCGGACAAGTCCTTCACAGACTATACTTTCACTTTAAAAGACGATTTGACAGTCCTAAGATAGCGGAGGTTCTGAATGCATTTTTATTAAATGTAAATTTGCTATGGTTGTTTCGAGTCATGTTGTGTTTTGAACACCCACGGTGCTAGCAGACCTGTCATGAATCGGTCCGCAGGCTGCAAGCAGTTGTTTGGTAATTACCTGTCCATATAAGTACAGGGTATATTGCCACCTGCAGTTTCTTATTACAATGCTGAAGTCAGGCTCGAAGCATTCATGTTTCACCAGAAGCCGCCCACTCTTATGTTTGTTGCTGTATGCAAGACAATACATGATTACTGTCCCTCTTTTATCCCCCTTATTCTTATTAACCCTTTGACGGCATGCAAGGCAGTTTGTCAATTCTGAGTCTATTAAGTAAATATATAAAGTATTTTGCCCTGCATTATACAGCACCTTCCAGTGTTTAAAGGGACACTGTAGGCACCCAGACCACTTCTGCCCGTTGGAGTGGTCTGGGTACCTTGCCCCGCTCTCCTTAGCCCTGTTAGTCAAAACAGTTTTTTGGAGAAACCGCAGTGTTTTGATTACAGGGCTCATCCGACCTCTAGTAGCAAAGAAAATTTGGGTGCTAGAAAGTCAATATATTTATAACAGGTAGCACTCCTGTAATTTACTAGATTTATAACTGCTACACACTTAGGTGCAATCCCAATTCACCAATCCAGCATAAAACGGTAATGTAACAATAACTGGAGCAATAATAAATGTTGCAATTTAAATATATACAAACGTATTGGGTATATCCTACAATAGGTGGTGGTCGATTAGAATTCATGGAACATGTAAAAAAGAAAATAGAAAGAACTAATAGTATAGATCTAGTATAGACATACATGACAAAAAAATAAAATTAAAATAGTGAGAAGCTCTGCCTCTTACAAAAACAGGTGGTGAATAATCACAGCGTATGCCGTTACTCACTGATCAGGCTCAATGTGGGTGGGCTGCAGGCATCTCTACAAGCGGGGTAAAGTTATCTTGTGCTGCGGGCGGCAGTTTCGCCGCGTCTTTCTAACAGGCTCGGTTCTCCTAGCTGTTTTTGGCTTCCCGCTGTGTGTTTCAAGTCCATAAGCTCATTGAGAGGGGTGGAGCTTGCGGACTGGGGGCATTTTATAGTCTGCATATATCCATATATCTTATGAACTATATTAACTGTACAAACACTTTTATATAAGCTTCAGATTAGGGCCGGTGCAAGGATTTCTTCTGCTCTAGGCAAAGATCCATTTTGCTGCCCCTTCATGTCACACACTCACTGACACACCTACTCACTCACTGACACACCTACTCACTCTCGCTGACAGACCTACTCACTCTCACTGGCAGACCTACTCACTCTCACTGGCAGGCGGACATACACGCACAGACACTCACTGGCGGACATACACGCACTGGAGTGAGCGGCTGCAAGAAGAGCCTCACTCGCCGTCTGCCTGCTCCATCCCCTCTCCTCCAGTTACCTGCATTTGATGGCAGAGCAGGCAGCTGTCATCAAGGTAAGAAGGTACCTGCTCTGCCATACTGTGACAGGGCTCCTCTGGGTGCCCCCATCTTCGGGCGCCTGGAGGAGCGGCCCGGCGCTGGGAGGGTGGGGGTGGGGGCGACTCTGGAGCCACTCGAATAGTGCTGCTGTTCAAGACAGAAATATCCCGGTGGGCGCACCCAGCAGGCTTGCACCCTAGGTGAACGCCTAGTTCGCCTAACGGTGGTGCGGCCCTGCTTCATATTAACATTCTATTAGTTATTACTGTGTATGACAGGATAAGTAGATTTTGTTAAAAACTATTTATACTATTTGTTCTATCTATTTTCTTTTTTAAATTTTCCATGAATTCTAATCAAACGCCATCTATTGGAGGATATATCCAATACGTTTGTATATATTTAAATTACAACATTTAATACTGCTCCAGTTATAATTACACTAATCCAACCTCTAGTTGCTGTCTCTCAGAAATCTGCTTCATGGTGCTTCGGTGTTCTAAGAGCACAAAAAGTGTTTTAAAAGATGTTCAACGTCCTCACGCTCTGCATGAGGACATCGAGCGTTGCCGGAATTCTCATAGGAAAGCATTGAATAATGCTTTCCTATGGGGAGGTCTAATGCATGCGCTGCCATCGCCATGCATGGACGTTCGGTCTCCTCCGCCAGCAGCCGCTGGCAAGGGAGGATTTTCGGTGGAGCTGAGACAGCGCTGAGGGGCATTGGTGCTGGACCCAGATAAGTGACTGAAGGGGTTATGAACCCCTTCAGTGCCACTGGACGGGGCCTTGACAGAAGGGGAAACTACACTGCCAGGAAAACGAGTTTGTTCTCTTGGCACTATAGTTTCCCTTTAAGGTACATTTATTTCTGCCTGTAGTGCTGTACGTTTTTCCTGATTAGGAAAGGATTAGCCAATTTGATTATGTGAAATTATTAATATTTATAAAGCCAACAAATTCCGCAGTGCTGTACAATGGGTGAACTAACAGACACTTATTTGTAACCAGATGAGTTGGACACACAGGAACAGAGGGGGTTGAGGGCCCTTCTCAATGAGCTTACTTGCTAGAAGTCTGTGAACGGTTGCATCTTGTTACCATCGTAGCAAGAGAATCTCTTTACCAAAACTCTAGACTGGCATGGAACCCTTGTTCAATTATATTCATAATTCATTAAAGGGACACTATAGTCACCAGAACAACTACAGCTTATTGGATTTGTTCTGGTGAGTACAATTATTACCTTCAGGCTTTTTGCTGTAAACACTGCTTGTTTCAGAGAAAAATGCAGTGTTTACATTACAGCCTAGTGATAACTTCACTAGCCACTCCTCAGATGGCTGTTAGAGATCCTTCCTGGGTCATGGCTTCCTAAAATGCATCCAAACATTCAGTGTCTCCACCATGCAGACACTGAACGTTCCTCATAGAGATTCATTGATTCAATTAATCTCTATGAGGAGATGCTGATTGGCCAGGCCTGTGTTTGAATTGTGCTGGCTTTGCCCCTGATCTGCCTCTGTGTCAGTCTCAGCCAATGCTATGTGGAAGCATTGTGATTGGATCAGGCCACCATTTCTGCTGATGTCAGCAGGCAGTGGGTAGGTCTAAAGGAAACCGGGACAAAGTAAGCAGCTCCAGATATGAATACAAGTAAAATTTTACTATATTTAGGGAGACAGGAGGGGGCCAGGGAGGGCTAGATGGTGGTTGTAACACTATAGGGTCAGGAATACATGTTTGTGTTCCTGACCCTATAGTGATCCTTTAAAATAAAAAACAAATAAGCATAACAAATATAAACAATATATATAACAATGTATTTACCTTTGACATTCCTGTAGCAGTAAGCTTTGCCCATCTCAAAATGTTGCTTAAAACCTTTTGACTAATCCTGTTATTCAGTTAGCTTGCATATAAGCCGTTAAAGTTGTGCTGCTTCATAGAAATCTACAAAAAAAAAAAAAAAAGCCACGCATTTATGCATTCATACATTGTACAAATACTTGTATGGACAGGTAGAAGTCTAGTTTCTTCATGATGTCACCAAGCAGGAACTAGGCACAGCAGCCCATATTTCTGCTAAATACTGCAGAAACTGTGTTTACTGTGACAAGCACATTAATCCATTTGTACCATAGCCAATGTAAGGAGTCCTGGGTTCTTGTGATGTTTGTAGTGTCCCTTTAATTTTCTGTTTGATGGAGAAGTTTGCAATTGACTTATGGGTAAAGAGCAAAGGAAGTCCACCGTGGTGTTATAACTGTCAGGTGTGCATGCACCATACTGTTGGGCTTGAACATTTTCACTACTTATTAGATAAGTCCAAAGCTTTATGTTAATCTTATTGTAGTTCCTGTTAGTATTGTTGGAAAAGTAGTTGTAAAATGGTTATCACATGTATGATTAATTCATAACCAAATCATACTAATGCAACAAATTAATGGTTCCTTGTTGTGATCCAAAAGAGATCAATCCTCCTTCAGGACCCCACAAAACATGTGGTAAATTTAATGTTGAGATAAAAACGAACATTCATAGGATTGCACTTTACAGTAGCCAGTTGTTGTGTTCAATAAATACACAGGATTATTTCTGTACTTGGGTATAACGCCGTTTTGGGTTCTCAGAAGTGCTTCAAAAATATGTGAATATAGTTGGCATAGGAATCAATAATTAAAAAATAAATAAATAGATAATGTTATCTTTATTAACATGTTATCCAAAAGCAAATTCCAAAGGCTTCACAGAGTAGCGCTAATAGGAAGGAGTTTTGTTCAAAATCACGTACAACATTTCAGCATCAAACCTTAAGCATGTGTAAGACTTGACTCCGAAACGCTGAACATGATTTTGTTCTCCTGATCCCGAATAAAACTCTTTCCTATTTGCACTAATCTGTGAAGACTTTGAAATGTGCATACTGAGGATACCTTCCATGATGCTCCTGGTGTGGGAGCAGCCACTACTGGATTCCTTGAGTGCAACACTATTTTTGACATTGAACATTTCATCCTGTTCATAATTTGCATTACAAATAGAAAGCTGTGTATAGATACAGTATGTAGCTATATCACCATGGAAGATCTCCATGTGCTGACACTTTAGATCAGGGGTAGTCAACCTTTTTATACCTACCGCACACTAATGCATCTTTCTTGATGGTAAAAATGTCCTTACCGCCCACCAGTGCTGCTGTAACTCAAACTTTGTAGCGCAAGTGTCTTCCGATACTCTGGTAAATAGCCACAAGCATATATTTTTTTTCTTCAGGCATGGGTTCTAAATTTGTTGCACAATTTACAAACTACTTTTACGCTTACCACGTTTTGATCTGCACTCCACACACAGTGTTTCTCTCCCCCCTCCCTTCCCTTTTTTTTTACAAACCCCCAAAACAACACTGTATTAGCTGCCAATTTTTATTACGTGTCACCATAAAAAGAAATCCCCCCCCCCCTTTTTTTTTTGCTTCTTTTCCTGCCTTCTTCTTATTTATCTTCCTTATCTTATATCAATATATCAGGGGTCTCTTTTTTTTCCCTTTCTCTTTATTCTCTCCTTCTCATTCCTTTACTTATTTTCCTTCCTTCTTTCTTTTATTTTTTAAGATAACAAAACTTAACTTATGAGCCACTCTAAACATTGCTTACTTATTTTTCTTCACTTTTTTATATATTTTTTTTTTTTTTGATCTTTTCGTGTTGTGTATTCTCTTGAAAGAAAACTGCCAGGAAATGTGAGGAGTCTTATAATCAAGATGAAGAGGCGCGTAAGGCTTGCATGTGTGAATGCTCCCTCTTCACACCTCAGCAGCAATATTCAGCAATTGTTTACTCACTGGTAGTCAAGTATTTTCAAGAACTGTGTGAAAAGGATCATAAACTTAGAACAAAACCCTTAAAATAAATAAATAAAATAAACTTCCTTTGTAGGATTACGTTTACGATAGTCCCCTTCCATACGTACCTTTTGTATGTATACATTTGTCACTTTTGAAATCGATTTATCCCTTTAATTTTACTAGTATTATTACTTATAAAGCACCCGCATATTCTGCGATGTTGTACAATGGGCATAAAAAACATTATCATAGCAAGGCAATTTTAATACACAGGAAGCGTTTGTAGAGAGGAACCTGCTGAAATAAGCTCACATTTAGATATGGAAGGCCTCATGTATTTATATTCTAATTTACACCGCAAAATCAAACATGTCCCTTCAAAAAAACTAAATGCTTCTGATTTAAAGCAGCTCTGTCACCTTCTTAGGTCTTTGCATATATTTTAGAAACATACATGATGGGGTGATTTCCATTCAGGGTGTGGTAGCGTATGGGTGAGATATAACTATGACTGAAAATTAGTTTCAGTTGTTGAATTATACTCCACAGGTAAAGTCTGGACTAATCAATTCATTCGTGTGTAGACTAAAAGGATTTTATTTTGGACAAACCAGCCGAAACAAGCTTTTGCACAAGTCTAATTCTTACCTTATTTGTGCCTGCTGGTTGCCACCATCTTTGATCTTCAGCTCTTGGCATCCATGTTGATGTCCTCCATAAATGATGTCTCACGAGGAGCATAGTATTTTACCTTATATCCTTTAAATTTCAAAACAGTTTTTTTGGGCTTTTCATAACTGTATTTTGATGAAATGCACGTAAAAAATGGTGGTAGAGTGGATTTTTTTTTCCAAGAATGGGATATTGATTTGCTTGTTTGAAGCATTTCTGTTGAGCCAGTTGATTAACATTTTGGAAATCACTAAACCTAATTATATGCCTTTCAGACTCCTAGAAAAATAGGCTATACAATACTGTCTTTTGCTTTTTGCATTGTATAGGATTCCAGAGATGTATTTCAATTTGCAGTTCCATTTCTTGCTATATTGTAATGGAAACGTCAAACAAGGTCTGTTTAATAACAGTTAAGTAAATATCCTCCACTTTCCCACCTATAAACATTCTGTATATACAATATGGCTCCAGGAAGACAGACTACATTCTTTTTTTCCAGTAGAATGTTTCTGTGTTCTAGTTTAAGCAGAATGCATTCTGTTTTATTCTTGATCTCCTCCCCCACCTTTTTCCATAAAAGCTCCCGCTTAATCCTGTTTTCTGTGTTCACCCATGATGCATACAGATCACAACACAGAACTGTCAACCTTGAAAGCAATATATGTTGAGCCCTTCTATTGGGTTTCAAATTGAGCTTTTTCTACAGCTGGTAGGATTCTGGGAGATCCTGCTACAAGAATTGACATCCTGTTTGAATCATTTTGATTATATTTTGGAATTGGGACTATAAATTATAGACCATTCCAATGCAACTTAATTAAAAATAGGTTTGTGTTATGAATCGATAGAATAGGTCAACTTTCATCCCATGATTTGGCAAAATTTATATAAATTTAGTCAATTTAGTTTCAGTGTACTTTATTTTACACTTTTTGTGTGTATGTGTGTGTATGTATATATATATTTCTTTAAAAACCAGCGCTCTCACAGGGCTTTTCTTCAGTAGATTATCTTCTTTAATTTAATTACAACAAATTGTGATAATTACATTTGTGATCGACGTTTCAGTCCCTCCATGGGCCTTTTGTCAAGATCTATAATATATAAAAAAAAAAAAAATCAAATAGACCATGTTTGCTTGCCTATTATGGTGATGGTACGCTTTATGTAGTTGGTGCGTGAGCCTTTAACCCCTTAAGGACACATGACATGTATGACATGTCATGATTCCCTTTTATTCCAGAAGTTTGGTCCTTAAGGGGTTAAAGCTAGCAATAACACATTTTTGTTTGTTGGGAAAAGCAATACATTCTGTTGTACGGAGGAGTCTTCCAGTATACAGCCCCAGGAAAGTTAAAGGAACACTATAGGGTCAGGAACACAAACATGTATTCCTGATCCTACAGTGAAAAGCCATTTGGCTCCCCCCCCCCCTCTTAGAATGGGTTAAAACTCACCTTATTTTCAGCTCTCCACGGGTCCACCGGTGCTGGCCCTGCCCCTTGGTGACATCAGAATTGCTGATTTTTAGCCAATCCAATGCTGATTGGCTAAAATCAGCAAGGGGCGGGGCCAAATGCCGTTTTGGCCAATCAGCACCTGCTCATAGGTGGCCACTTGGAGATGTCCCTAGTAGCAATGTAAATACTACTTTTTCTCTGAAAAGGCAGTGTTTGCATAAAAATGCATGAAGGCAATGATTATACTCTCCAGAACAACTACATTAAGCTGTAGTTGTTCTGGTGACTATAGTGTCCCTTTAATATGTATCTGACTATCCACCCAATTTAGCTAAGGTCATTCTTCATTCAGTGGCATGTCCCTATTTGCCCTAGGACCACTTACCTTTATGCATACCTTTATCTCTTGTTCCCCGATAGGAAGGCAGTGAAAATTTATCTGACTATATTCACTATCGGTCCCATGCATAATTACACTTTGTATTAATAATTCAACCTGAATATATTTTGGGTTCATATCTGCAAAACTATGAAATAAATGGAGAACTATGTTGCAAGTCTCTGATAGTGAATAGGTTAACAGTGGGAACAATCTGATTCTGTGTTCCTAATACGTTAATACAAGACTTGAAATTGGTGAAGGGTCTGCATATAATATACAGGTTCTATTTGACAGAGAACAAACTACTTTAAAACAAAATCCCTTTGTATGACAGCTGCTTACCCAAAATTGTCAGAAAGATTTGTCATGTACAACATTGCTTCGAACTGTCCATTTGTATTCCAACCGCACAATGTTTATTGGCTCAGGAAAGATAAGGTTGTTTATATGGATTGCAGAAAAAAAAAGTAATTTTTTGTTTTTAAAGGATTTCTTGTGACCGTGATCTTAAATGGAATTGGTCTAAAGTTTTAAACTAACATTTATAACCGAATTGCATGACCATTTATAGTTTCATGGGTCTGACTACTTGCCAAGCTATCACAGGGTAAAAGGTGTGGGTATGAAGTGGTTACTTGCAGTAACTGATTCCCCCCTCTATCTACACCGTCCTAATCAGGGCTCAAAATTTCAACTCGCTACTAACCATTGGCTAGTGAAAATTTATCCCTGGCGTGTTCGAAAAATATGGTGTCAGTGGAAATTTGCCACTGTATGCTGTGGCTTGTAGTGGGAAGTCGATTTTAAGGCATGGCTAGTAATATAGGACTTTATATAAAACCGCTGCTTTAATGAAAATATTCATATCCTTTAATTTACGTCATTGCTTGAACTTTCATTAACTCATACCAGGTAACAAAGTAAATAGTTACATTATCACTGTACAACTATATATTTGTGAAACAAATTTACATACGGGGCAATTGTGGATAACATCGAACCAAGATTAAGCTACAAATAGTCTCAAATTAGGGAGATTTTTTCAAAGTAACTAATAACACAAGAGATAATAAATAACAATAAATAATACAACCTCCCTATTTAACTATATAACATTCAGTGTAGCCTATTTCAAGCAGATCTATACATGTATAGACAGAAACGTACAATAAAAAAAAAAAGTAATCGCACATAGAACAATATATACAACTACTCAGTGACACAATCCACTATAGTGGTTATGATGTGAGGAGTATCATAAGCTTTGTTAGGGGTACAGGGAAAACACTCATGTACAGTGGCTCTGGGATAGGACAAATTTGAGCCTTAAAAAGCAAAATAGCCTGGTTTCTCACTTACCTCCATATTACTGCTTTATCCACAGGATATGGATGGAGATATATATAAATTAATTAAACCTTATTCTATGTGTAATGGCATTACATGAAGACTGTCTTCTAGGGAATGACTTTAGGTGATCTCCAAGGTTGTACAACTAGAGCAGAACACAGTTTCTGGCAGCGTCCTTCCCTATCCACTAAAATATTAAATAAGACCCCACGGAGAGGTCATGAAATATTTACTTATTCAAGCTCTGTAATGCCATGTTAATTTCACAAAGTCTACTCGGCATGTAGCGGTTGTGAATTCTAACCTTATCTCTGTTTGAAATGCGTTTGTTTTTATTTTATATAATTTTTTTTCTCCTCTTTCAAAAGTGGAGACCTAAGGGATTAGTTGTCTTTCTTTTTCAAAATCATTCTTAACTTCCCACTTCCCACCCTCCAGCATCCACACATCGCCCTATCTACAGGCTCTCCTCTACCCACAGGCCAGATAAATAATAAATGAGTGTTTGTGCAGCCAAGTGCTCTACTTAGGAAAGTTAACCTAGATGGCAATTCTTCTGTGTGTCTGTTACAGATCAGCATCTTCATGACACATCTCTCAAACTACGGCAACGACCGCCTGGGGCTCTACACGTTTGAAAGCCTAGTGAAGTTTGTGCAGTGTTGGACCAATCTCCGACTCCAAACTCTACCACCTGTTAACCTGGCAAAGAAATACTTTGAAATCTTTCCACAAGAGAAGGATCCTCTATGGCAGGTGCAGTAGAATTCTTCATTGTGTAATGTTACTTACTGTACCCCAAAAGTCTCTTATACAATCAGTGTTTTAGGTGTATCTAGTCTCTCTTTTGAGTTATGGAAAAAACTTTTTTTTGTTTGTTTTTTGTGTTAGTTTATAGTCCTGGTTATATAGCAGTGCTAGTTAGAGATCCTTATTTATGTTTTAATTTCTGCCATTTTAAAAGTGCATTAAGCACCTAGAAGAAAGTTTAGTACTGGTAGGTGTTTTCATTTAAATATCACTTTCAAGGTCCAATGCTACATTTTATGGATTGTGTAAAGTACGTTGCAACATTGTTCAATTTCTAAGTAATACAAAGTTTATGAAGTAAACACTTTGTGAAACCTTGACATTTGCATTTTAGTGTAGTTGCGGATGCTGGCTGAGATTGATGGACATTTTGTATGCCCAGCACATTTGGGTGCTAGTGTAATGCACTGTGATTGCTATTTTTATATGGCCACTTTGAGGGAAATTTACATATGACGGTAGTAAACTGTATCACCGTCCAGTATTCCCTTTTTCCCAGTAGCAGAATAGTAACAATAATCCACAGGAATAAATATCGCTGGTATTGCCAAATAATCAACACGTTAGCCAAAGCTTAATGCTGGAACAAGACTGATTTACTGGAAGCAACAGGCATTCAATTTATACAGTAACAGACTCCTCCTCTGGGCCAGGCTAGATAATTGAGTTTCAGCAACCTACTAAACTCAATTATCTGCTGGCCAGAAACATTACAATTTTAAAAAAATTTCTGCATAACATAGAAATATATATCGCTGGGTAGCTGAGGATACTGGGAGTCACATGTCCAAATTTCACAAAAATCAGTTTGGTAGTTTCCGTGTCGCATCGTGTGGAAGTTTGACCGGCTCGCCATGTGGTGGTATCTGATTTAGAGTTCCATGACATCAGTAGCAAGAGCCGGTCTCCGTTCGCGCAGAATTACACGAAAACTACCATAGATATGTTGCGGCTGTTTACATGAGAGTGCTCCCCTCGTTCGGTAGATTAAAACTCCCAAACGCCGGTTTGATACTATGAGTGGAAATGGGTCAGACAGGACTTCCATAATGACTGGACGTTCGTGTGATTGCCAGCCGAAAACAGTTCCAGGCAATCCACGAGTAAGTCCCGCTGGCCGCATTCGGGAGATTTAAGACGGCCGCCATTCTTTGTTCTCGCCACGTGTTCGTATGCCGAATGGCTGCCACCTAGGAGCACTCAATTAAGTTGCGGTTTTTCGTGTGATTTCTCGGTGTTCCAAATTCTGATTGCTACCCAGGCTGGTCTCCGTTCGGTAGAACAAATACATTTCCCGAACACATAATTAAAACGAAACATTCAAGGTAGTTAAAGAGCAGGGAGAGGACACAACCGAAAGAACACAGGTGAATACAGGGAAATCCTTTACATTACATATTTAAAAATCTGAACTCAACGTGACCGATTCTCTTTAGCAATGATAATAGGAAAAGTTTAGTTGGTAAAGAACCCAAGTCCCCCTTTCTGCAATGCCTACTGAAAAATTAAATGAAACCGTAAAGTTTGTACTTTAATAATAAAATTTTAAGCTTTTTGCTCACCTTTTCTCCTCCCATGATGTCATTGGGAAACATGGCCTCTTCAATGGTCCAATCCAATGCACCTCATAAAGGTGCATTGGGGACCTGATGTGCGGCAAGTGCTGCACGCACATCCACGTTTCCTCATAGGGATGAATTGAATCTATGCTTTAGTACGAGTGCTTCTGTTGTCACATGAAAGAGTTTTAATCAGTCAGTGCAGTGGAAGCACCTGTAGTGGCTGTCAGGAAGACACACTAGAGGTGGATTTAACACTGTAATGTAAACATAGCGGTTTAAAAACCAAAAAAATGAATGTTTTACATTAGTGTTAAAAGGACAGAACCACTGCACCTAGACCATGTGGAATTGTTGACTTTTTAGTGTACCTTTACTGTTGGATTCGCCACAATTTAATGGTTGACCACATTATTCTCTGCTTTAGCTATAAACTCCTAATCTTTTTATCCGGGATAAGCCGTTACACCCATTATAAAATGTCTGCAGTCTGGCTGTCTACACCTTGACTTGAAATTATTTTATGGTTTTACAGAATCCTTGTGATGACAAGAGACATAAAGATATCTGGTCAAAGGAAAAGACCTGTGACAGGCTGCCAAAGTTTTTAGTTGTTGGACCTCAAAAGACTGGTATGTATTCATTTTACTAGCATCATTGGTATTTGGTAATTGGTCTTGTAACGGAGCTCCTTGTACTCCGACTGAGTACCCTCCGTTGATGGATGCTCCTAGCGCTTCCTGAGGACTCCAAACACTGCAGCAGACACCACAACCACCGCAGACTCCACAACCGCCGTAGCTTAACTGGAGTCTCGCCGTCTTCCTTCCACCCTGGATCAGCTTCTGTCCTCCAGGACCGTGTGGGGAAGACCTCTCCTCCAGGAGAGCGTAACAGGAACAGCTCTTAAAAGAGCTAAGTGATTAAAAGCTCAGGGGAGTATGCAGAGCATAGCAATCCCCAGTGTGATATAGCAGTTCCCTCCAATAACGAGACAAGGCTACGTATTGAGGGTCAAGAAGATCTGATGTTTAATGGCACACACTCTGCTTTTATGAGATTCTGCCCATGCAAGGGAGACACCCACATAATTAGCAGTATAACCAATCGGAACAATATACATTCGGGGAAATTCCCATCCCTCAGATAATCACATAACATAATTAAAACAGAACAGTAAAAATACAGTTTTTATACATGTACTATAACTTCCAAACTACACATCCAATCTTCATAAAAATTACATATTTGGAATCAATCCATTAAGGGGAGCAACATATTAAAAAATGGCACAAATCAGACAAGGGGTTCAAAAGTTAGCAAAAGTGTCTTTTGGGGCCTGGCTGGCAGCATGGTTTTCTGGCCCAAACCGGTTTTACAGAGGCCTCTATGCTGGACAATGGGGAAAGTAATCCAATTATCCAGGGATAGAGGCAGACTCCATTAAACACATGTTAGCAAAAGACACAAAAATACATAACTCCTATTGAACTGAACAGAACCCCCACATTCAACCTATCCCCAGATGGCTTGGATCTGAGCGCTCAATATATCCAAACAGCGCTCAGATCCCACAAATACAGTCAAATGGCCATACACACTAGGTCCATAGTCATGGGGCAGAAGGCTGGCAATTAGGCTTCTCCATAACACAGGGAAGCAGGGCAATTTGTCAAATAAAATAACAGTTACAAATGGCAGTTTGTAACAGTCTTCACACCACTAATCGATTGTTGTTAATTGTTACATTTCTCCATAGGTACAACAGCCCTGTACTCCTTTCTTGGCATGCATCCAGCTGTCACAAGTAACTTCCATAGTCCAATCACTTTTGAGGAGATCCAGTTTTTCAATGGATTAAACTATCACAGAGGCATTGATTGGTAAATATTCTACTATCAAATGTTTGTCCTGTTGTTAATCGGTCAGAAATTATGACTTTTAGCAGCTATTTCTTTATTTGCCAAACCTTTCCAAGCTCCAGTTTGGTCAGATGGTACTGACAATGATCAGGAGCTAAATCTTGCCATCTGGTTATGAGAATCTCTCAATATATTTCTCGTTGGCATCTAAAATGACAAGGGGACTGGGTAAGTGTATTACTTGTGACAAAGCAGGACCTCTATTCTGATTGATGAATCCCTCATGATTAAGACTCCCAAAAGTTGTCGTCTTGTGTATTTTTCTCTTTATGAATAAACCATTTAATGCATAATCCATTGCCAAGTACAAAAAAAACATATCTCTGTTTGGTAGATATATCACCAATGAAAACATGCATGGATTTAGTTATACATTTTTTTAGTGTGGTAAATCTAAAACAGCTTGCATTAGAAGCCCTCCGCTTCGAACCCAGCCCAGACTTTCTTTTGGCTACCTAATCATAGACTTACCAGTGCAGCTCAATGCTCAGGTGCTTTGGTCAATTCCTGTCTCTTGAGTTTACTTCTACTGAGCTAACCAAACCAGGATGCAACAGGACCAAGATGTAACAGAAAAGCCAGGGGGTTGTAACAAGGTTCATTTATAATCTATCAATCTCTCTCTTTTCTTTTTTTTCTTTTTCAATCTGCACTTCTTGTAAAATGAAGAGGACACTCTAGCAAGCTAAAGTTCTTTAGGTGTCCGTAGAGTCCCTTTACATTTTGGCAATTTTGTAGCTCTGAAAATCTTTATTTATTGATTTTAATTTCTCTTAGGTACATGGAATTCTTCCCTGTGCCTTCCAATGCTAGCACGGACTTTATGTTTGAGAAGAGTGCAAATTACTTTGACGCTGAAGTGGTACCTAAACGAGCTGCAGCACTTCTCCCCAGAGCAAAAATTATCGCTATCTTAATCAGCCCTTCATACCGAGCTTACTCCTGGTATCAGGTAATGCCCCCATGGTTTGAAATCCAGAACTTCATTTACTTGTGTCATCGGGAGTGAGCAGAGGAGGGCGTCCTCTGATGTTTAATGTGACCCATGAGGCCATTTGTCCACATACATAAAATGAAGTTAGTGGAAAGGGCTCCAAAGGTTAATTGTTGTGAAATATTCTGGGGATGCTGAGGCTTTCTTATTTTCATACCTTCTGTCATTATTAATTTGACCTGGCAGTTTCAGTGAAAGCTCATCATTGCTAAACATATCACTTGAAATATCTGAAGTAGTGTGCTGAGGTTTGAACTGATTTTCTGTATTGATTTAACTATTTCTAGTAACCTTTACTGGAAGAACAGGATATTAAACATAGCTGCAAGCAGCAATGTACAAGAATAACAACACAGATATAACATGTGTAGATATAGTAGGCAGAGCAGCAGATGACCTAGATAAGCATATTATACAAGTGTTCTAATATTTCTCAACATTAGTATCTTAAAGAAATACAATCTCCACATTCCCTATAACATAGAAACATAGAATGTGATGGCAGATAAGAACCATTCGACCCATCTAGTCTGCCCAATTTTCTAAATACTTTCATTAGTCCCTGGCCAGAAGGCACTAAAGCAATTGATCACCATACAAATTTATCATCAGTTTCCATGTTCATACTTCATTTTTTTTTTTGCGTCTTGTTTTGTTTTTTAATTTTGAGTTGGCATTTTTGACCATTTGATTATGGAAAAATATTGAAATAGGTTAGCAAAAGAGAATCGCATTGCTTAGTTTGCAGATTTCGCTCCTGCAGCATCAGAATGCCAGGAAAGTACACGGCAGCGTTTTAAAATGACCACCGTACAGCATAAAGACGTGACGTGACCAGGAAAACCCAGTTTATTGGACCAACCTAATTATAACATGGCCGTATGCAGGAAGTGTCAGTATGTTGGCCTGCTCCTACCTTCACAGCATACAGACAGTCCCCAATCTACATTGTCTTGACTTGTAACAATTTACACCAGGGGTGCCCAAAAGGTAGATCCCCAGATGTTGTAGAACTACAACTTCCATGATGCTTTGCATGCCTTTAGAATGACAAAGCATCATGGAAGCTGTAGTTTGAAAACATCTGGGAATCTATCTTTGGACACCCCTGAGTTACACTTACCAGTAGACTCTGTTTTTGAACCCATCACCAGTTACATCATATCATATTACGGTCTATCATCTAGTGTTCTTTGTGAGCACTAAGTGTAATGATATTTTGCTTCACCTACTCTCATTTTTATATACATTTTTGTAGCTGACTGGTTTTTAATATATTGCGGCACAAGTCCTGTATTTATAGCTGTCACTCATATCTCCCTACAGCATCAGCGAGCGCATAATGACCCGGTAGCAATGAACTACACATTTACACAGGTGATAACAGCTGGGCAGCGTGCTCCCCCAGAACTCCGGAACCTGCAGAGCCGTTGCTTGATGCCTGGGTGGTATGCTACACATCTGGAAAGGTGGCTGAGCTATTACCCTGCCAGCCAGGTGAGTGATTACAGGGTTATCAAATAATGCTATGGTGCGGATTTAAAAAGCCTTTGTACATTTATAGTAATCACAATATCAAGTTTTAAAGAGAATTGAGCAGGGAATTAATCTTTTATTGGGAGAATGTGTTCTACAACAGATGTGTTAGTGGTGAAAATTGTGTATAGCTGCTCTGTACACTAATGTGGATTACCCTTTATTCCACATGCAATTGAAATAGAGAAAGTGTGGTATATAAATGCAAAGGCTTGGCCTGCAGTTGTGGGAGGGGCTTGTTACACTACTTAAACCCCCCCCTACTCACCTTCCTCCGTCCCGTACGTGATTATAGCGATTCGCTTGTCGTTATTTCTGGTCGCTCCATTTCTCCACTTACCTGGTCTTCCAGGCTCCTTTGCCTGGCCTGCTGCTCGTTGTCTGCGGTCCTCCTGGGCTCTGCTCCGGATCTCCGGTTGTCCCTGGCGCTCCAAGCCTCTATTGTCCTTCCGGGGCAGGCTACGCTGGCTCGTACCCCTTGCTGTCCGGAGGAAAGTGTCTCATCCTCTGCATCTCCCCCTTTCGACCGTGGCTCTTGGGGGGGGGGGTCGGCTTTGTTGCGGTGCTGCGCGTCTTCCTGGCATTCTTGGCTGTGTGCCAGCTCCGGGGGTTTTCTACTGCCCAGTTTGTTTTCTACTGCCCAGTGTGCAGCGGACCAGGCTGGGTGTGCGGATCGTGTTGTGCGCCGCAGTGCTCTCGGGTGTGGGGGAGGCCAGAGTGGGGACGGGCACTATTTGTGCAGGTGCGAGGCTAGTGGCAATTGTCGGTGGGGAGACTGGATGCGGGAATCACTCTGACCGCCCGGGTTGGAAACAGGCTCTTGTGGTGACTCCTTTCCCCTTTTTTTTCTTGAGCATTCCCTCACCCCCTGCGACGCTGTCGCACATGCACATCTGTACTCACCGGCGGCTGGGGCATCCATGTGGCCACACACACACACGTGTGTTGTGTGCAGTTATGGATACGGGTAGATACCATGGTTATAGGTCGACCTAATCAGGGACTTTTAGCTGGGCGACATTATGTGTTTTGTTTCTATGTACTATCACTATTGCAGGTGCAGTGTTTTGCCTAGAACCTCTGCAGGTACAGATCTAGTGTGCTTCTACATGGCAACTTCCCCTGGAATAATATAGAGTTAAATCAATAACCTGCAGCTGATTTAGGTTTGTTGTGCTCGGTAAAACCAAAAAAAAAATGTTAGTGTTTCCTTTTCCTGCTGTGTCATACGCGGTCTTAAGCTACGTAGTTGCTGTTGCCAAGCGGTTTTCGGTCCCGTCAGGGGTTTGACCCGCGTATTCACCTCGGGTTTTTCGTTTCCATGCTTGGCTGGGCCAAGTCTGCCCGCTATACCCGGGCTCCATTATTTTCCAGAAGGATCATTACAGTCTGCTTTATGATTCCTCCTCATACCACCCCCCTCATCTTCATCATACGGTGCATCCACTCTCTCACTCCTTACCCATCCCCTCTTAGTTAGCTGTTGCTGGCTGTCAGGGTCCTAGGTGCCCACTAGTGGTAATTTCCCCCCGGCTTCTTCGCCTTAGGTTAGTGGTCCCGTGAGGCTGACACCCATCCTCATACTCGGAGGTACTTCGCCCCTCGGGCCAAATCATAGTTAGTCACCTCGCATTGTGTCATAGAGAGGGCCTCACCTGTTACTCCCAGTCTATCTTATGGTTACCTGTCACCGAGAGGCTGCCACCCCGCCACAATGTTCAGTGGCCACGTTATCCCCTCGTGCCAACTCATAGAGCTTCTCCCGCCACTTGGCATCTAGCAGGGCCTCACCTGTCACCAAACCTAGTTTTAATCGTTTCGCCTTTTGGCTTAGCTAGTATGCCAGCGCTCGCACGCACGCACGCACACACCGGGTCTTGTGAACCCCGGGGCCTTTACACCAACACGAATTCTATTACCCATTGCCGGCATGCTCCATTCAGCCTGACCGCCTGGACTCTGACGTGCTTACTCTACATTCCAGTTACGGTCGGCCCTGCGGTTCTTTGTCGTTTCACCCTCAGGTTCGTCATATTCGTCCTCTCACGCTACCTTCCTTCCCCTCTTAGTTAGCTGTGGCTGGCTGTCAGGGTCCTAGGTGTCCACTAGTGGTAATTCCCCCTGGCTTCTTCACCTTAGGTTAGTGGACCCGCGAGGCCAACACCCATCCTCATACTCGGAGGTACTACGCCCCTCGGGCCAACTCAAAGTCTCCTCGCATTATGGCATAGAGAGGGCCTCACCTGTCACTCCCAGTCTATTTTATGGTTAACTGTCACCGAGAGGCCGCCACAACGTTCAGTGGCCACGTTATCCCCTCGCGCCAACGCATAGAGCCTCTCCTGCCACTTGGCATCTAGCAGGGCCTCACCTGTCACCAAACCTAGTTTTAATTGTTTCGCTTTTTTTGGCATTAGCTAGTATGCCAGCTCACACTCACGCACACACACATTGGGTAGCTTATGCGCTGTTTCTTCGTCTCTTTTTTTTTTAGCAGGTCTCCACTGCCTGGCGCTGGCGTGCTACTTTTTCCGCCTGGCTCTCTGGCTAGGTCTGGTACTCCTCAACCGACTTCTTTCCCCCTTTACTATGCTCCTCTTGCTATGCTTCCTGTACGGCCTTATTTGCCCCTCACACAATTAATATATACCTCAAGTGGAGTGCTATAAATGTTGAGGAATTACTCTTATGTCTAAATATGCTGGAGTATTTATTTTTAATTTAACTTAAAATCTTGTATTTCTTATGTGAATTCTCCCCAGTGCTCAGTTTAGTGAAGGGAAAAGAAAAACATAAGTTTACTTTGTGACTAAAAATAATTTATTGCCAAACAAGCAAACAAACTAGCATGGCATGAACTTCTAGACGTTTCTATTGACCTGCCCGGTTCCCCAGCTGACAGATTGATATTTTATTTGGAACAGATTCACATTGTGGATGGGCAAGAACTGCGGAATGACCCAGCGTCGGCCATGGAGAGCTTGCAGAAGTTTTTAGGAGTGACACCACATTATAACTACACACAGGCCCTTAAGTAAGTAAATATTTGACGACGACAGCACCACATTTTGAATGAACATCGGTAGTTACAACTTTGCACCCTGTGTGTGTAAAAACCTTAATTTATTATTTTTGGACAAAAAGATTTGAATCTTTCCAAATGAGGAATCTATAGAAGTAACCATAAAAGTCTATAGGAATCTTTGTAGGTAAATAATCTGAAAAGTTTATCCAAAAATATTAAATTGTACTTTATACCCTGTGTGTAAACATAGGCCACTACCACTGTACATCCTTTGAGTGAACATGTGTGCCTGTTACTACACTCAATGTGTTACTACACACCTGCATACCCTGTATGTGCCTGTATTTAGCTAATACTGTATCGTGTGCGAACACATGTAACTACAACTGCTCGCAGTGTGTGAACATGGGTATATACTTTTCTGAAGCTTTACTTGCCAAGGACGGCAAGTGAAAGGCTGAGAATATTAGCTTATCACTGCTGCTCAAACAAATGATTCTGCATTTGTAAGCAGGCAGAGGTGCGGAAGTTAGACCAGTGGCGAATGGACACCACTTCCTTGTCAAACGGTTTGAAAATTGTTTAACACTAGAAGGTGCTGATGGCCTTTGAGCATCATAACTACTTTAAAAATAGATGTACATGTGCAAAAATTTTATAAAATGCCAACATACGTGCAGGACTTAAAATGTTTTCCCACACTTGCGTTACTAGAAATTTAATAATAAAGTGTGCATCCAAGTGATGACAAAACAATACTTAGTGTTATAAGGTGGAGGACAGTATAAGTCCTCTTAGTAAAATGCTTAATACCATTTAAATATCACACAATGCTCTACGAGGTTGATAGAGACTCTAATAATAAGAAAAGAGAGAAAACCCACAGAGTAATCCAACTTGTAAATGCCACACTTTAAATATTATTGTGGAACTACTCACATGTGCTCAAGCAGCTTTCAGGCTCCATGTAATACACCCAGTAAACCCTTATCAGACCTAGGTATCCTCTCCGGTATTGGGATATAGGACAGACACTTAGATCTCCATTTGTCAAATTATTTATTATTTCAACTTTAATATGAGGGCTCAAAATGCTTATTAAGATGATGGGCGAGTTTTACTAAAATAATAAAGTGGATCTCACCGCTGGTAAGTCTTCTCCAATCAACATAAAAATATACAATGTAGACACGTTTCGACTCGAGTCTTCTTTTGTTATTCAGCATCTAAATATACCCTATTCCAGGGGTAGGCAACCTTTTAGCAGCACTGTGCCGATATAGGATTGAGATGTCCTATTTTTTTAAATTGAGGTGTGTATGCTGCTTGTGTTATTTTTACTGTAATTGCTTTGTATCGTTGTATTTGTGCGTATATGAGCTACTATATTGTATATGTTCATTAGTAGTTTGTGGTATCGTGTATGATACCTATGAATGTGGGCTGTGTATAAGGGCTGCTTGTGGAATTGTGTGTGGATAGATATGTCACATTGCGTGTTTGGTAGTGTGTGTGTATGTGGGGCTGTTTGGGGTATTGCATGTGAGAGGCTGCATGTTGGGTTGTGTGCATGTATGTGGATTGTTAGCGGGTTACATTTGTGCGGATTGTGTGTATGTTTGTTTGTGAGCTGTTTGTATTGTTTGTGTGAGAGGAGGGTTATTCTGCATTTCTGTGTATATCTAGCAGTGCTGGTGACTTCCATGGGTTCCAATGGGGACCAGGCTGGCCAGGTACAGGTCAATGACAGGAGCTGCAACAGCAGCTGTGGGCTGCTCTACTACAGTTTGGATTCCCATTCACAAGTGCTGGGAGGAAGGGATCTGAGATCACTTCCTGTATGTGCTGCAATGCATAAATTGAGGATTGTCCTTCACCACCTCTTCGTATTAGAAGATATCTGAAGTTTTACTGGGACTCCTGATAGGCCAGAGCCCGTTTGGCTCTAGCAGCCTTGAGTGCCGTGCAAAGACACCTTGAGTGCCGTAGGTTGCCTACCCCTGCCCTATTCCCTGCCTTACAGTTATAAACATTCTATTCTGTTTCTAATCACTTAAGAATTTCCCTACGTTATCCTTTAAAGAATATAGTTTACTATAAGTAAAAAAAATACAACATACTTTACCAAAATGTTTTTGTCTTCAGGGATCAGTCCCAAATGACACACACACTGTTCATAATTCATGAGAGTTTAGAGAGCACCTAAATTCTAAATATTACTACAATTCCGTTGCTTTTTATCCTGGAGAAGTTATGTATGCTGATTAATTTTAATTTATGGTCTGTAGGTTTGATGAAGCCAAAGGATTTTGGTGCCAGGTTGTTGAAAACGGGAAAACAAAATGTCTTGGGAAAAGCAAGGGCCGAAAATACCCTGACATGGAACCGTCGGTAAGTCTACCATCTCATTCGTGTCTCTCACAGCCCAAAGCAATTTATATATGTTTTATAGAAATACATAATTAGAATTGACAGCACCGAAGGTATCCGGGACTAACCCATTATGTAAAAAGTCAAACTCAACTAGGACACATTATCGGCCTGTCATGTTTCCTGATATTCAACAAATGCCTTTCTTTATCATAGAGGTTTTTTTTTTAGCATTTAATAAAGAGTATACAAACCTTTTTTTTTATTTAAATTCAAATTATGTGAATGATGGCATAGGTGTTTTGTTTATTTTTTAATTTCTAGGATTAATAAAGCACAGCATAGCCCCAAGTTAACTAGGCATTACAAAAATATGTAAAAATGTTTCTGAAGTGTGGATTCACTGCTAATGCAACATCAGATGGCAGGAGTACAAACATGTATTGCTGTCAATATTGTTGTGAAAACACAACTTAGGTCCCAGCCTGTCTGTAAGCAATGTAAAAGGTGATTTTACTTGCCTTTATTCTAGTGCCACACGGGTCTCCTTGCAGCTGGCTCCACCACTGTTCCGCCTCCTGGGCTGAGATGCTTAAAATGGACTATTTCAGCCTATCCAATGCTTTCCCATAGCATAGCATTGGGAGCCTATTGCACATTTGCGGCAAAACACCACGCTGCACCAGTCAGCATCTCCTCACAGAGATGCACTAAATCAATGCACCTCTATTAACAACGTTAAGCGCGTTCATGCCAAGCGTGGAGACACTAAACGACAGTGCTGCACATTGTGCAGCAGTGACCCAGGAAGCACCTCTAGTCTGAGTGACTGCCACTGGAGGTGTTACTAGGCAGCAATGTAAATTGCCTTTTCTCTGATAAGACAGTGTTTGCATTACAATGCCTGGAGGGACAGCCTATAGACACCAGAACATTAAGCTGTAGTTGCTTTAGTGACTAGCGTGTCTCTTTAACCTGTTGTGAAGGGCCAGAGCCAAATATGATATTTACCTCAGAAACATCATACCTTAAAAACCACAGACATTCGTCAAACTTACATTTTTATTTATGGAAAATAGTGCCTTTAACATGTTCTGCAACTACAAGAGGTTTCATGAATGCATTTTCTCCTGTATAGCAACTCCTCTGGTTTCTGATACTAAACATTTTTTTTGTAGCATTTTTCTTTTTATGAATTAACAGTAAACCGGTATAAAGAATGTTTGTTTTTTGTTTTTACCCACTTGTAGTCACGGACTTTCCTAACGGACTTTTACCGGGAAAATAACATTGAACTCTCCAAGCTGTTAAACCGGCTTGGTCACCCACTGCCAACATGGCTGCGAGAAGAACTTCAGAATTCTAGCCGGAGCTGAGCCTGGGTTCCAACATGCACTGGCATGCTACATCTACACACAACCACATGGCAGGAGTCAACAGAAATCAGCTTGCAAGGACTAATCCTGCTGCACGGGTTGGCTTTCTTTGTAGCAATGAACAGCACTATGGATGTTGACCAATCATTGTGGGAACCAGATGGCTTTGTTCTCATTTCTGTAGCATGTGGACCTTTGTGCTGCAGTGATGGACACAACCTTGCTGAGTCTAAAAATATGTGACAAAAACGCACCTCCTGGACAAAAGTGTTAACTGTTTTGTTACAGAGCTTCTGGTAACAGATGTCAAGAAAATTGAAGTCGCACAATGAAGCCTATTTTAGGCCAGACTTTGAGGGACTTAATCTGAATCAAGATTGCATCAGAATGGAACAAGGTGGTCTTTTCTGGGATTATGTACTTTGACTCCTCTAGGGCATTTGCACCATGGTAACCTGTGCTTTTTGGTGGAGTGCGGGTTCCATTGGAGACATTGCTAAATTATTCAAGCTGTGGAAAAGAGCAGTTTAAGTCCATTTTATCACTGGGATCCCTTTCCTTCCTCTCACGTTTTTGAGCATACCATGGGAATAGTTCTCACCATGCCAACTCACTTGCAAATTTATATTTAATTCATTTTTAATAGTGAACAGAGCATGCTTGTTTTGAGTCTCTACATCTTATAAGTGACTTGTAATTCTTCATTGCACATTATGTGGCACGTTCAACCACTCTTGCCCCATGCCAACCGATCTTTCCAAAGAGTAGACCTGTGCACACGTAGGTAGGAATGTTGATGGCCCTTCAAAAACAAATCACTTCAGTTAAAGGTTTGTAAAAAGAGCCTGAAAAAGACATGTCGACAGGAACTTGGAGGTTTGGTAAAGGAACTCTTGAATGTTAAAAATATGTTCCTTTACTAGTTCAGTATTCTGAGCCTTTGATTATTATTATTTTTTTTTTTTTTAAATGCCATTAAATGGCACAGAGTCAGACTCCTTACTGCAGCCTCATCCTCCTCCTGGGAGATCACCATATTTCATCTGGGTCTAAACTCTAATTAAATACTTCTCATAGAGAAACATTGGAGACATATGGTGCATGCGCGGCAATCAATGCTATCTGCCAATCTAATGTTTCTCTGTGAGAAGTCATTGGATCCATACGTCATAAAGATGCATTGGAGGCTCACCCAGCTTTTAACATCCACATACATTGCATGCTGGTTCCATACATCAAATAGAATCTGTTTTGTGTCCGAAGAGTGGGCACTGCAAAATGCAAACCGTGCCATTTCTCTGGAACAGCACTGTTTTCCTCTGCAGGGGCAGCATCTATAAATCACTCTAGGTTACATTGATGTGAAATAATTTTGGTGTTCACACTGTTCCTTTAAGCTGAAGTGTGTTCCTTTCCTGAGTAATGCTTTAAGTGACTAGGTTTTCAGGGTGAACAGGTGCAGGTTTAATTTCCTATGAGTTGCTTAAAACATTGCAGAGTTTGAGTTGATGTAGGCAATGACTCTATTCTGTAAATCAGATTACTGTCTGCCAACTGTACATTTAAAAAATGTCTTTATCCCATAACTGCTTCCTCTTGGTACTTTACATTTTAAATATTTTTTTTTAATGGGGATTTTCAATATTTATTAATTTATCACCTGGTTAGTACATAATCTTAATTTTATATCGTTTCTACAGATTCTAGATTTCAATAGCTGCTTCATAGATAAAAGGCTAGCAAATTAAATGGAACATGACAATATAAAAAGCCAGTGATAGTGCTGGATTTTGGCTTTGGCATACTCTCATGGATTGAGAACTGAACTTATTGTTGGACATGGCCAGTATTTTAGGTTCACAAAGAATGATCACTCACAATCCTATTCAGTTTGTTGGGTGCAGAATCAAATCATTTACAAACCATTCATTGACATATTTCCGTGTACATTTTGTTTTATTGTAAATTATGATATACTTGCTATAGTTATTATTAGAGAGGCACGCTGCCGTTGGTCCTGTTTTATGGATATCCTAGTGTCTGTCTAATGCAGTGTTTGCCAGTCCAGGATTTTGTCATTTTCCAAATCCTTTCCTATAGTGACACTGACACAACCTGGAGCCCTGATGTGTCTTGAAGACTGGACTGGGAAACACTAGTCCAATGTCCTGTTTCTGGTGTCATCGTTGAATATAGAACATGTTTTACAGTGGAGAGCTGATTGATGCTGAAGCTCTATATTATGGATCGTGTGATCTTCTTGCTACATAGAAACAGCCCAAGTACAAAAAAAGAAAAACTAATCACAAACATTCCAATCACTCAGAATATGGGCAGCTGAAGTCTATACCCCAGTTAACCCTTTGTTTGCCAGATGATTACAAGACCTTATGTAGTGTTTTTGTCCCCAAATTGAACTTGCCCTTTCATTTATCTCTGCTTTTAATATGCATCCTGTTTGGGGGATAAATCTTCCCAATGATCCAACACGTAGAAAAGGGATATACACGCGTACACACACACACTCTTACACACACTTTCTCTTTTATGAACTTCCCCTTTAATCTCAACGGGCAATTAAAAAAAAAAAAGTTTTTAATGGTTTGTCATTCCGCGGTAATATTGCTTGTTATGTCAAGCACCATCAACACAATGATTTGTTGTGACAGAATGTGAGGGGAGGGGGAAGAGGATGGCTAGGGGAGGGCATTTTACACAAGCTTTCTGTTATGTTTTTTTTAAGTTAAGCTGTAGGTATTGTGTATTTTGTAAAATGGTCCATTTACTCTTGTATGGTAAAAAAAAAACATGTAAATAGTATGCAATATAGTATTTTATGCCATGTACCTTTTTAATGGGGTAGAAATTGTGCAACCAAAAGCTTAAACACAAGAATAAATTGATACATGTGGTATTTTGATCAGCAAACCCCTCTGCCCACCTCTGCGCTGGACCCTCATGTATTGTGTCATTCACATTGAATGATGATAATGGAGAAATTTTTGGCTCTCGTAGCTGAACACATGTCTAAATAAAAGCTAGAAGTAGCATTATGTGGATTCACTGAATTTCCTGGTTCCTTGATGTTTGTTCTTAAAATGCTGTACGCGTTGTCTTAATCCATGTGTACATACGTGTGTGTGTGTGTGTGTGTCTGTGTGTGTACAAATATATACATTTATATATTGTATAGTGCATTTAGAATGGTTTTTATACTCCATTTTTTTTTTTTATGTTGCAGTCTTGTACAATTGTTTACATTGTTTTCTATCTCAATCTACAGTCAACACATCATAACGATAAAAGCAAAAAAAAAAAAAATCTTTGACACCACCGCAAATAAAAAAATAAAGACAGTCACATAAGTATTCAGACCTTTAACTCCATACTCTCTTGTAGTACCTTTGCATCAGTTTCTGCCTCAAGTGTTCAGGGTCCTTGTCCTATAGGAAGGTGAACCTTTGACACAGTCTGTGGTCTTGAGTGATCTGAGCCAAGTTTTCATTAAGGATCTTTTTTGCGTAATCCTGATCAGTCTCCCAGTCCCTGTCGCTGAAAATCATGTCCAATCAATTGAATTTGCCGCGGGCAGACTTCAAATAAAGGTGTAGAAACCTCTCCGAGATGATTCACAGAAATGGGATGCATCCGAGTTAAATTCTAAGTGTCATAGAAAAAGGTCTGAATACTTTGTCAATGTGATATTTCATTTTTGTTTGTTTTTTCCCTGTTATTAACTTGCAACTAGTGATGTCCCGAACGGTTCGCCGCGGACTCATCATTGAGTAAACTTTGACCCTGTACCTCACAGTCAGCAGACACATTCCAGCCAATCAGCAGCAGACCCTCACTCCCAGACACTCCCACCTCCTGGACAGCTCACTAAGAATGCAGCTTCACAAAGAATGTAAAATGGATGCTGTCCAGGAGGGTCTGCTGCTGATTGGCTGGAATGTGTCTGACCCTGTACCTCACAGTCAGCAATGTTTACTCTATGATGAGTCCGTGGTGAACCGTTCGGCGAACCGTTCGGGACATCACTACTTGCAACGTTTTCAAAAATCTAGTTTTGGCTGTCATTATGGTGTATTGAAGGGAGATTGACGTAGGGGAAAAAACATTTAAACAATTGTAGCTTAATAATGTAACATAAAAACTAAATTAGAACTCAAATGCACACAGCTGGTAGGTAGTTAAATTTTTACAGTAACAAAGTAATAGTCTAAGACAAGAAGTGAGGCTCATGGAGCACATACTAGGTGTAAAGTTCAGGTGAACTGGTAAAACCACCCAAAGCAAGACGAAAGATTGGGTGAGCGAGATAAAGTAAGTAAAAGAAAGAGTGTCCGCATACATTTATTTTGAACATTTTATTTGTATGTTCTTTCTCATTTCCATTTTTATTTTATTTTTTCTTAACGAATGTGATCACCTTTGGGTTGGAAACTATTCCTCTTTTCTTTACTGCAGTAAAAGTTCTGAAAAGTGTTTACTAGTGGGCCTTTGAATGGAAGCCATTGGAAACAAACTACTGTCTTCTTTGACTGGTGAGATGCCACTATAGACCCGATATGCACTACATGTGCAAAAGAAACAGTATTTGAATTCCCAACAATTAACACCTAAAAAAAATAAATACAAAGTGAATTTAAAATTTTAGGCAGAATTGTAATGCATCTTTAAGTCATCTGTTTTCCGTTCATCTACTTGGGTCTAAAATTTTAAACTCACATTGAATTTCTGACAATTAACATGCTGTGAATTATGATTAAGGAATATTAAACACTTTTTTTTTTTTTCTGACAAAAAACTTGGTTTAAATATAACTTTTAATCTTCTCTTAAAGGGACACCACTTCCCAAATAAACGGTTTAGTAGATAAACCCCACTGAAAACATATACGTATTTAATTAAGGATTTTTTTTTCCCTTTGGGGTTATATCCAAATACAGCTTGTAAAAGCTTTAAGTTTCTTGTCTGCAGCCTTTGCAAGCCCTCCCCTTCTAACCCCACCCATACTTTCTGTGGTTGTCCAATCACAGACTTCCTAATGCAGCTCAATTAGAAGTCTTTACAAGGCAGATGCTCTGCAATTGCCTCTTGAGTTTAGTTCCACTGAGCTAAACAAACCTGGAAGGAACAGGACATGTTGTCTGACAGCCAGTGAGGTGTGATAAGGTGAATTTATACAAATTTCAATTTCTATAGATATTTTTGTAAAATGAAAGTGTTGATTCTTTAATGTAATACAAATGTCTAAGTTAGATTTACAACTGTCCAATTATTTATTAAGCTCAAACAATTAATAGCTTTTAGACCCTTGTATGTGGATATTTCCTTCAGTTTATTAGTGATCTCAGTCGAGTACAATGTTTTCACAGCTGGCTGTGTCCTAGTGTTTTTGCAAAAAAGATAATAAAAGCACTTGGATTTTTAAATCTGTGTTCTGAAAATAAATATTGAATTGTAAATTCATTAGTGCATTCATAGAAAAATCATTTTGCCATTTATGGAACTACTTTTACTAATTATTCAATAAGATTGTATTTGTTCTTGGTTAAATGAAGCCAAGGAGAGTATTGAACCAACAGAAATGCCATTTACAGCTTGTCTATTGAGCCTGCTCCCTTATCACACATTGCAAGCAGGATCCGGCGCCTTAAATTATGAAAGAAATCCAATTATTCAGCTTGTGAGATTTTCACATATTCATCACATTAAAAATATAAATTTTATATAAAAAAAGAGATAACTACTCTACAATTTACCATTTCGTACCGGCATGTATTATGTAATGTATAGATATAAATAAATCTTTAAGCAGTCGATCTCCTGGCTTACCATTGTTCGGCTAACAATATCAGACCTTCAAACTGTGCAAGATATTAAGACAATAAGTGATGCTTCTGACTAAAGTAGGGTTAAAATGCCCACCCTTCTGCACTAAAATAAGTTCCTAACATAAGCATTCTTTTAAACAATATTGATGTAGTATGACGTGATCTTTTATTTTCAGATATAATGAAAAATGATGACCGTTTTCTTTTAAATTCTATTTCCTTACTGTGGCAATTTAAATTCTGCTGACACTGATATAATTGCTAGACCACCCAGAGGAACATTATGTTTGCAGGTTTAACGGTTTCTTCATCTGAATCTAGTATTGGCAATCTTGGAGTTTGCCTTTATAGGTCCAGGGAGGTGGGGTTTTTTGTTTGTTTTGTTTTTCATAATGGATACGAAGAAATTTAAATTACTGCCTAAGAAAATCTGTAGTGAATTAAAAAAAAAAAAAAAAAATACATAGTTTTTGTTTGTTTATACCACCATTTTTTCCAGTAAATGACAATGTAACACTGATATTGCCCAGACTGTTTTGTGTGGTGGGCTGTTCCTATAGCTCCCTTTACATGAAAGATCCCACTGAACTCCATGTATTGAATATCTAGTCTTGTTGCTGATGGTCTCCACCCGTTACCTTGTGAAAGCATCATAATTATTGACAGTCTGAAACTACTACTTCCTCCCTTGAGCATATACATGCACTTGCTGATAGAGAGATCAATAAAACACTTACTGTTAGAAGAAGTAGCTCGGTGTGAGGAGTCTTGCTTGAAATAAAAGGCTGAAGGGAGCTAAGCACACAGCCTAATCGAAATGTTTCTTGAAAATTAAAATGTTTTCTATGGACACCAGACTTGCTTTTAAGAAGTTAAAATGTTCTGCTTCGAATACTTCACCCAATATGTGAATTTTACGTTTTCCTAACTGAGTCATGCGTATCCATGAATTGAAATGAATGGGGTCTGTCTGAGCAACCTAGACCTTTTAGATGGCAAAATGTGTAGCACAAGTACAGATTAGCTGCTTAAAGGAACATTCTGGGCACCAAAGTAACTTGAGTGCATTTGACATGCATGCTGTGTTTTACTAATTAAAAAAAAGAAATGGCAATTTTCCATAGCATGGCCTTGTACCTTTTAGCCATACTCCTTTTTACAAAACTAGATGCATTCTGAGTATTTACTCAGCCCAGGTAATAAGATCATCTACCCCCACAGCCAATCACTGTTCTCCTATCTGTGAAGAATCAAAGCCTTGCTACGGGGAAAGGATAGAAATAATGACAGTGATTGGCGATGAGGTGGAATGATGTCAGCAGTACAGTCACACTTAGCTTTCATCTCATCGGAGTACATATTCAGAAAACACAGAGAAAGGAATTTGGTGGAAAGAGGGTGGGGGTAGAGAGTAGAAAGAATGAATGCTATTTGAATGTGAATAGAAACTATATATACATATGGCCTAGATCTGTAAAATTGCTTAAATTGTATTGTGCAGCCCTGAGCCAGGAAGCACCTCCAGTGGCCATCTAAGGATTGGCCACTTGGAAGTGTCCCTAGCGGCAATGTAAACACTGCCTTTTCTCTGAATAAGCTGTAGTTATTCTGGTGACTATAGTGTCCCTTTAAATCAAAGTATAATCAGTTGTTTCATGTTGTATTCCAATTCTGAAAAACAAACATTTTAGCCTAGATTTATTATCCCACTTCCTCTGTGTATGAATAGTATCGCCCATGTTAGTATAATAGTACTGTGTTGTCTATTCCTGAAATCATTTTCCATACTTTGCATAGTTTCAGTACTGGACTGCTGGAGGTAGGAAAAATGCATTCATTTTCTTCACAATAAACATTGTGTGTGTTTATAGTAAACCTTTTACAGGAGTGATGGTCCTGTAATATTCTATACCACGCTGGCTTTAAAAGTCACTAATTGTTGGTTTACAGGTGAAAGCTGATGTTTGCACTGTAAAGGTATAGAAACTCTTGTTGGTCTCGTCTAACGTCTAGAGTACTTAAAAGAACACTGCAGGCACCATAACAACTTTACAGCACCTACCCCTACAAGCTGTCACCCCACAAAGCTAGGTCCCTACAAAGACGCAATACCACAAGCAGCCTCCCCTCACATACTAGCACAAGTATTATACCCTCCTCAACACATGCATCCCCACCTACATTCAACACCAAAAGCAGCGTTCCCACACTCACCACTGGCATACACTTACGCTTTGATTAATTTTCTGTTCTTGCCTCGGGTGCAAAATGAGCTGGTTACGGCTCTGGGCTGACAGACAAAACTACGTCCTGAAGTGGGTAAAGCTGAAGCCCAAGGAAGTAATGCGCATGCTTTGGCATAAAATGAAAGGTACACTCCAGGCACCAAAACCACTTTATGGATATGGTGTTTGGAGTCCTGTGCCTTTACATGTTTACTCCCTTTCAAACAAGGTTAGTTCTTAAGTTAAGCCGTCCAGGCCCCAGTCCATCTTATGCTCCTCTGCTCATTTTGAAATGTAGAAACATTTGCTTGAGCAACACTGATCACCCATAGCGAGTAATTCTACATACATTACAAATGTATTGGTGACTATAGGTTGCCAGTAATAGCTTCAGGGTGTTAGTCAACACTCATTCTGTCACTACTGCTCAAGCAAATGCTTCTGTATTTGAGAGCAGCAGAGGAGAGGAAAGGACTCCAAAAAGTTTGAATACTCAAGGATAATGAGGCGCCAGTGGACTCTAGGCAGAATAGCCACTTCATTAATATGAAGTGCTTTCGATGCCCAAAGTGTTGCTTTACAGCAGTGGTTCCCAAACCATTCCTCACGGCCCAGCAACAGTCCAGGATTTATGGATTTCTCTTTTCTATTCCAGTGGAGCTATTGACAAAACCCAGACTGTTGCTGGGTCAAGTGGACTTGTTTGAGGATCACTAGATTATCGAAACAGTCCAGGCACCATAAGAAGTTAATCTGTTAATTTATGATGTCTGGAGGTCCTGGGTGGAGATTAAAAATTAAGAGGGTTAAACCGTAAACTAATGTCTTATCCCCAACATGCTTCAGATTCTCCGTCACCAAGTTTCCTCCTCCAGCCCTGGCCTTCCATACAGAAGCATTGAACTAGGTTTGTCAGCTGATACTCTCAGCCTATCAGTTGCCTCCCATTATAAAACATTTTTTATGAATGTATGCTTGTTATGGCTCCCAAGACCTCCAGGCAGCATAACCACTTCAATGAGATTAAGTTGTCATTGTGCCTGGAGTGTTCCTTTAACCCTTTAAGGACCAAACTTCTGGAATAAAAGGTAATCATGACATGTCACACATGTCATGTGTCCGTAAGGGGTTAAGGAACTTAAACTAGCCTTAAAAACATGTTGGATTAGTTGTTTTTGAATATTTTTAATCCATTATCTACAATGAATGGTTCAATACCAGCCAAGAGAGCACCATGTAAAGTGTATACTTTTATAAGGTAACTGGGACCAGCAAAAATCACAGAATGGTAAAATATTTTCAACAGCAAGCCTTGTTTTGCACTGCGGTTGATAAATGTCCTAAATCAGAGATCAAAATATGAAGTTCTAAGTTACTAGACAGACCTAAAAGTTACTGGTGACTGGAAGCACCATGGCTCACTCACCAGGGATGAATGTCCTAAATAATACTCTACCCAACTGTGCAAACTGACTGTTTATATGTATATTCACAGATTGTGTATGTTTAAATGTGACTGACTACATTTTTATTTTAATCACTGTGCATTATCCGTTTATAAGCAAATGTAAAGAATTAGACAATCATGTAAAATAAAATCACATCAAAGGGACACTGCAGGCACCGTAACTGCTTCACCTGCTTGAGGTGGTTATAGTGGCTGGGGTCCCTTTGGTGCTGTCCTTCCATTTACTGGTAAATAGAGATGTCGCGAACGGTTCGCCACGAGCTGTTCGCGGCGAACTCCGGTCAGCTGACACGTCCCGGCCAATCTCCAGCAGACCCTCCCTCCCAGACCCTCCTACTTCCTGGACAGCATCCGGTTCGCGACATCTCTACTGGTAAACAGTGTTTCCGTAGCAACCCATGCACACTGGGCTGCTTAAGCAGTTCTGATTTGCTGACACTGTCTGCCTCTTACAGCACCCATTGATGGTATAAATTAGGAATAATCCAGTTAGAGGCTTCTCACTGAAGCCATAAATGCACCTTTTTTTTTTCTATATTAATGCTATTTGGGCCTAACATTTGCAGTAACTTTGTCGATTCTCCACCATTACCATTAACAGAATATTATTTTTTTTAGCATTATTAATATAATTCTACATAGATGAGTCAAGCTACAAAGACTTTTGCTACGCATTCAATCTGTTCCCGTTTGATAATGGGGTTTTAAGATACAAGCGCTAGCTCATGATACGGTATTAGTGGGCTTGTGATTGGGTTCTTGCGTCAGACAGTAGTGATAAGACTTATTTTATTTATTGCAAAGGCAGATATTATTCTGTGGTTTAGCTTAACCATTGTTTCCACTGAGCTGTGCAGGGTAAGCGGCTTTCCTGTGACACCTTTTTACAGTAGGAGACATTGGCCTTAATTGCTTTAGTGTTTTATGTTTCAGGGCAAATACTTTATATTTATCCCTTCTGAAAAGACTTTCTACATAAGTTGATAAAATGACTAGTATAATAAAGCCAATTGTCCCTTCACATCACTATGATTTTAAATAATTTTATAGTAGAAAGATATTGCAGGCATGATGCTGTAGATGTTAAAATATTTCGCAAAATGTATTTTAAAAACAACTAGCTTGTAATATTTGCATTTTGCACGTGCTTTGCTTTGATGCTTTTCACTTGACCGCAGTAAAGAAGTCTCTCTCTCGGCAGCTATCAGCCAGTCTAGTGCTACAAACATGGGAAGGCTTGGACGTGTATGAAAAACGTCCGAATTATAAAATTTCACTTCTTTCCTGAAGAAAGCACTAGAGCAGGGGTAGGCAACCTATGGCACGTGTCCCATGCACGGCCCTCAAGGTTGCTAGAGCCAAACATGCTCTGGTCTATCAGGAGTCTCAGTGAAACTTCAGCTATCTGCTAATACGAAAAGGTGGTGAAGGACAATCCTCAATTTATGCATTGCCGCACATAGAAGTGATTTCAGATCACTTCATTCCAGCACTTGTGAATGGGAATCCGCACTGGAGTAGAGCAGCCTACAGCAGCTATCACAGCTCCTATCCAGACAGCCTGGTCCCCAGGGAAGCCACCCATGAAGAAATACACATAAATGCACAATAACCCTCCCTTCATACAAATAATACAAACAGCCCACAAACAAACACACAATCTGCACAAACGCAACACCACTAACAATCTACATACATGCACACAACCCCACATGCAGCCTCTCACATGCAATACGCCAAACAACCCCACACATACACACTCCACAAAACACACAATGTGACATATCCATCCACACACAATTTCACAAGCAGCCCCCATACATAGCCCACATGCATAGGTACACGATGCCACAAACTACTCATGAACATATACAATATAATAGCTCACATACGCACAAATACAACAATACAAAACAACTGCAGTATAAATAACACAAGCAGAATATAGCAACATACACACCTCAATTTAAAAAAATAAGACCGGCACGCTACAGGACATCAATCTTATTTCGGTACAGTGCTGCTAAAAGGTTGGCCCCTGCACTAGAGCATGTGATTTTTTTTTTTTTTTTTTGAATCTGTTAGAATCTTTATAGCCTTCAGTAGTCCTTTTTCCTCTTGGAAAATGAAGGTGGAGCTACATTTTCTGCTTTTACCTGTTGTCGTTGCATAAACAAAGTGGTTTAACCCCTTTTAGTTCTGCATGACATTTTAACTGTGAATGTCATAATACTGTTTGCTTTTACTCAGCGATGTCTCACGTGTAAAACGGTACCCCCTATGTACAGGTTTTATGGTGTTTTGGAAAGTTACAGGGTCAAGTATAGCATGTGACATGTTTCAGTTTTTTCACATTGTTTTTTGTTCTTCACAAAGTTAGCATTAATATGTTTGTGTGTGAAAAATGCAAAAAACTAATTTGAACGCCAATTTTGGCCAGTGTTTGTGACTAAGTGGCTACTAAAAAAGACTTGACATAACCCATTTGCAATACTTTGGTTGTCTACTTTAGCAAATGGTATGCCATCATAGGCGTAATTCTCATTCCTGGGCTACCATACGGTCTCAAAGGCAACGTAACCAATCTGGTGAATTTCAGTGTGAAAAAACTGAAACACAAGCCTTATATTTGACTCTGTAACTTTTGAAAACACCATAAAACCTGTACATTAGGGATACTGTTATACTCAGGAGACTTCGCTGAACACAAATATTAGTGTGTAAAACGTATCACAAGAATTATATTGTCAGTGTAAGTGCAGTTTGTGTGAAAAATGCAAAGAAATGTCACTTTCACTGATGATATCATCGTAATACATTGTACTGTTTTGAAACACTAATATTTGTGTTCAGAAAAGTATCCCGAGTAGAACAGTACCCCCCATGTACAGGTTTTATGGTGTCTTGGAAAGTTACATGGTTAAATATAGTGCTAGCAAATTAAATTCTCTGGACTTTCTGCCTGGGTTATCAGGCAGGTCCCGCAAATTTTAATTAATAAAGTGACTTATATAATCATTCTAGGTGTATTTTGATTATATATATTAATATTAAAATACACTTAGACAATGTATGTATATATATATACACAAACACACACACATACTTAGATCATATATATATTGTATATGATCTAAGTATATATTGTTTTATTTTACACTGTTTTAACTTTATTTTAAATTTATTTCAGGCAGCAGGGGGACTACCTTTATTCCAGGCACTCCCCCTGCTGGTACTGCTATGGACGGCTACTCCGTCCATGTGATCGTGAGGACCTCGCAATCACATGGCCCAGGAGGGCCCGACTGGCAGCAGGGGGACTCCCTGGGATGTCAGGTAAGTCCCACCATCGGCGTAAGTCCCCTGGACGGCGTGGACGTGCTATGCCGCCCGCGGGCGTTTTGAGCCGGGTCCCCAAGGACGGCATAGCACGTCAGCCATCCTTGAGGGGTTAATTCCTAAATGGCAGAATTGAGTAATAAAACTGCAGGGGTATGATCTATAAGCACTAAAATAACTTTACCTTAATTAAACAGTATTGCTGTAGAGTGCACCTATACAGGAGTCTTCATGCAGGGTGACCCTGCAGTATGAACTCCTACATCAAGGTCTGTATATTGATTATGCTATATAGTATGTTCAGTGTTTACAGCCATAGATGGTACTGATGCTTGGAGT